CTCTCTCTCTCTCTCTCTCTCTCTCTCTCTGATATAGAGCAGGCAGGCTGCTGTTTACAGCAGGGAGATCTCTGAGTAGTTCTCTGGCAGGTGGAGATGCTGGTGCTTTTACTCTCTCACTCTCTCTCTCTGGGCTGTGTTTAGTCTGAACACAGCTAAATATAGACACACACACATTCTCTCTCTCTCTCTCTCTCTCTCTCTCTCTCTCTCTCTCTTTCTCTCTCTCTCTCTCTCTCTCTCTCTCTCTCTCTCTCTCTCGGCCAGCAGCAGCAGAGGACATAAGCCAACAGTAAAATCTTCTAAAAGTAATAGCTGCTGTTCTCTGTCTGAGATTCATGAGCTGTCATCTTGTCCCTAAAGTCTGAAGTATTAACACAAGCTCTCACAGCCAAAATCAGACTCTACATTTGCAGCCCTGACATTTGGTTTGCATTCTGACTGCTCTTCATGTCCATTCTCAAGTGCAAGGCCCATATTTATCACACCTCTTAAGAGTACTGATCTAGGATCGGGTCCACCCACACTGCCCATATAATTTATCCATAATGTGTTCACTAGAAAGTAAGGGATGAAAACTAGGTTTAGATTATATATTATATAGATTATATCTCTGTTGTTAGATACATTTTAGACCCACCATTAATCACTTAAATAAAAGAATTTCAGCGTTTCAGGCTTGGCTCTAGAATTCAGGTTTCAAAAACTGAATGTGGTGAAGCAAACCGAGTCAATTCGAGTAAAATAGAGCTGTTTATATCAGACAGACAGCAGAATGACCCCTGTTGGAGTGGAGCTGAATTAAACTGGTCCAAATGTTTTCTCTCGCAGTTCTCGGAGCAGCAGCACCTGCAGCAGCTGAATGTATTCCAGGCTTCTCTGTCCATTACGGGAATGCCCCACAGGCCTCTGGGACGGGCGCAGTCCTCCCCCATCACCTCCAGTCTTAAAGGGACACCCATGAGCGAACTACCCATCAAGCACCTCTTCACTACAGGTAACAGGCTGACTGGGGGCTCAGTGTTCATCTAAAGTCTTTCATTCTCTTCGTCCTTTAAAATTAAACAGGACATTTTTGTTATTGTGCCTTTAAGACTGATATACAATCATACAGAAACTTTTGAACAAATCCAGTCAAATTATCCATCCATCCATCCATCATCTAAACCGCTTATCCTTCTGGGTCGCGGTGGGGTGCTGGAGCCTATCCCAGCTGTCATCGGGCGGAAGGCAGGATACACCCTGGACAGGTCGCCAGTCCATCGCAGGGCAGACAAACAGACATATACATCCACAAACACAATCACACCTAGGGGCAATTTAGCACGTCCAATTGACCTGACTGCATGTTTTTGGACTGTGGGAGGAAACCGGAGTACCCGGAGGAAACCCACGCAAACACGGGGAGAACATGCAAACTCCACACAGAAATGACCCTGGTCACCCAGCCGGGAATCGAACCCAGGCCATTCTTGCTGTGAGGCGACAGCGCTACCCACTGCGCCACCGTGCCGCCGTTCCGCCCGCCAGTCAAATTAAACAAACTTAAACATTTTCATGGTGTTGCAAATTTTTGTGCAGTTTCCATTTATTTGTTGAGATTAACATATAAAAAAACAAGGTATAAAATGTGGCATAACTTTTGAAACTACTTTATGTTTTTTTCTAATTAGTTCTAATGAACAAATAGACAGTAATTGTGCATTAAAATGTGCAGATGCATGTACTCTGTAATGAATATGTTAACTAATTTTTACTTAGAAAATAAACAAAACATGTCTAGAGTCCTTGCAGCAAAAGGCTACTAGAGTTAACGAGATGTTTTGTTTGAATTCCTACATTTGGAGTAGTTTGGGTTTGAAATGTAATTTTACTTTGGGGAACATTGTTAGTGCATGAGTGCAATTGTCTGATTTAGTCTCTTAGACTCTCTCTCTTGCTCTCTCTCACTCTCCGTCTCGGTCTCAGGGCTGGTGTATGACACCCTCATGCTAAAGCATCAGTGCATGTGTGGGAACACACACATCCACCCCGAGCATGCTGGCAGAATCCAGAGTGTGTGGTCCAGACTGCAGGAGACCGGCCTGCTGGGCCGCTGTGAGGTGAGCGTGCTCTACCTACTGGCGACAAGGATAAACATAGCCCTTAGCATTCAGCTCAACAGTTGTTTTACCTGTTTATTAGTTGTAATTGTAATTAAAGGGGATTCCACCAATCTTTTTCACAATTTCTGCTTAATTCATTCAGTAAGATATAAACATAGTCATTCACCGTGGTGATAGGAACCAGGGGTCACAAAAATAAATGATCTTTGGATGCTACTGTGCCTTACAACACCCTGCATGTACTTCTCTGTCATGAAGACATGTTTTAATCTAAAACCTTGTCTCAAAACAATCAAAAACTCGATCTCGGGCTTCTGGCAGCGTAGTCATAACCTTTAAGTTTAATAGCTGTCTGACTGAAAACGCTTTGGACGTCTGGTTCCTATCACCACCACTGTGAACAATCCTTTCATGTCAGACCACTCTGAATGAAATCTTGATGATTTATTTATTAAATTATTAATTATGCACATATTTTGATGAATTGTATTGAAGCAATTATTTAGCAGAAAATCAGATTTACTGAATTTTGAATTACAGCTAGCAAGTCATGGAAGCTAATATCCCACCAATCAGCATCGTGCAAAGACACTGTTCTTAAGCCATGGTGACTTGTTGAGTTACTTCAAATAAAGCTGCTTGTGTGAAATTAGAGAGATTGCTCCTTCTGTTTTTGGCTATGTGATGTGCTTTTATCCATTTTTGTAAATTTGATTTTTGTCAAATAATTAAAATTTAATACTATTTATTCTCAACTTTGAATTAGATCAGTTTCTAAAATGCTGTATTCCATTAGTTCAGCTACATTGTAAACATCCATGTCTTACTCATAGGTATGATTGTGCAGCATTTGAAAGGGTCTTATGTAAAACTGCTAATGTGTTTTTGTTTGTTTGCCTGTATAGAGGATCCGGGGCAGGAAGGCTACGCTGGATGAGATCCAGACGGTGCACTCGGAGTACCACACACTGCTCTACGGCACCAGCCCGCTCAACAGGCAGAAGCTAGACAGCAAGAAGCTCTTAGGTTTGTGAGAAAACGAATGTTTTCATTTTAGAGGTCTGCTTGGACTCTGAAGCCTGAACCTGTCCTGTACCCATGACTTTCAAGACCTGTCCTGATCAGGCCCGACTGCTAGATTTCATACCTGAACCTGACCCGAACCTGCTCACGTGCACTAACAGAGATGGATTATCACAAACACATTTTTACAGAGCTTTGTAATTCAGTGCTTAAGTTGTAAATACGATGCTAAGATAAACTGGTATTTTGCACATCTATATCACTAACAGTATTTACTATCAGTATATTTATGATGGCATTGCTGATCTGGCAGAGAACAGCATCCACCATCACCTGTTAGCCCTGCTGCGCTGAAGTTCCGCTCAGCACTGTTGCTTAACACACTTCGAAAGAGCTTAACAAGCAAGAGGAAAGACCCACCAACACAGAATATCTTTTTCACCATCCACTTTTCCACAGTGTGACTGCGACTGATGTGCTGCTGAACTTCATCCTAGGTTTCATTCAGGGACACATTCACATTCAAAACATACAGTTGACTCCTCAGTCCATGCATTCTATATATAGATGCTAAGATGCAAAAAAAGCCCATTGTGAATTCACTGTTTTTGTAATGACATGAAAAACCAATGTATTTAAATACAGATCCACCTATTCAGCCTGCAGTATTTTAACTCTGCCCATTAACACTGAAGTTATAAGTAGTACTGCTTTTTGTATACTGATTGACAGTACAGGGCAGTCAGTCAGAACAGAGATCATTTACATATCGCTGCTGATGGAACAAAACCTCATATCTTCAAAATGCTAACTTTACAGGGGAAGAAAAAAAACTACTTTTAATGTAAGTCAGTGGAACCAGACTTTTTTCTAAAAGTCCATTTCTTTTGGTCCATTCTTCATGAAATTTACATACAATGTAAAGGGCAACAGGCACTTTCAAATTATGTGAAAAACTGAAAAACAACAAAAATGGAGATACAAGGTTTTGTTTCAACAGCAGCGATATACAGGTGTGTGACTCTTCTGAGCTGAAATATACAGTCATGTGCAAAAGTGTGTACATTTTGTTCCTCGTTTTCTAAGTGAAAGTAAGTACACATTCTCTACAGAGAACACACCCCTGCACATTTTAATGCACAATTATGGTTTGTTTGCCGACTTTAATGTGTAAAATAAAACATAAAATATGTCCTAGCTCAGCAAATAAACAGAAGTTATGAGCTAAAATTTGCAGAAAATGCCATATTTAAGTTTGTTCCTTGTAGAGGATGTGTTTATTTTTACTTAGAAAATCAACAAAATGTTATTTGATTCAAACTTTTGCATACGACTGTATGCGTATTAAAAGCACAGTAACAAAAACAGCCTGTTTAATTCTAAAGGATAAAGAGAGCCTGGAAAATAGTCATGCAAAAATGAATTATGACTGTTTTTGGTATATAAACCCACACAAATGTCGTAAGTGGAGGTCAGGAAGAAAAATAAAATACAAGTCAATGTAGGATATGAGCCTTTTAAATGCATTATTCGTCAAATAAAAACAAATCTATTACATAAAAAAATCCAAACCCAACCCGAGCCTGATATTGTATGCAAAAAATCAACCTTAATCCGGCCCAAAACCGGATATTTTGTCGGGCCCCGTCAGACTCAGACTGGGTCAGGTAGCAGACCTCAAGTTCATATGTATGTTTACATGGCACATGAAGAAGTAAGGGAGTGCTCATTTCATTAATCTGTGTCTGTAGTGCTTTGTTGGTCTCTTGGCTCCAGTAACCCAAAAAGGGGTGCTCCCCCAAGCGCCCACTGACGAGCGTGTCCATTAAATGCTTCCCCCGCTCACTTCCGGTCTGGTGCACCGTTGAAAGCAAACCTCCACTGACAGACGCTGGAGTATTTTTAGGCTCTAGACGTTCCACCCCCGTCTCTGAGTCACCAGCAGAGTGCGAGAGTGTGTGTTTGTGTGTGTATGTGTGTCTTAGGGTAACTGAGATCAGCTGTGGGTTGTGGCAGAGGGCCGAATTCTGCTTCTGTGTCTGCAAATCTGCAAACATGTGCGTGTATCGTGTGCAGACGTTCAACAGGTGTCTGACAACATACATGTGCTTAACTGTAACATGCTCTATGGAGCAGCGTCAGCCATTTACCAAACCACAGTGCACAGATGAAGATGTAGAAAACAAAGAAGAAGCACAGAAATGGCAAACCCCATTAAAAGACATTTCATTTTAATGGAGAGAGAATGGATAGAAAACCACGTATTGGATGCAATGAAGGAGAATTTCAGGTCTTTCGTCATTTTGTTTAGTTTCGTTTTGAGTCTCGATCCAACCCCAGCAATGCTGAATATTATTTTTCATATCAGAACCTCACTAGTGATGTACCGAAATGAAAATCTGTCCAAAAACCAAACTAAACACTAAGAGAATGTTGTTTTTTCGGTTTTAATTATGATTTTATACCGTAACCAAATGTATTCAATTATATAACATATATATTAAATAACCATACTAAGATATAATTCCAGAACTTTTAATAAGACAAAATTAAGCTAACTATAAATATGTTTACAGTATTTAGGCTACAGATTGTGCCACAAATTCCAGCATCATCAACAACAATTTGTCATTCAAGACAGTGAATCCCATTACCTTTTAGTGATTTTCGGGATTTTGCATTTGGGAATTTTTTGTCATTTCAGAAACTGAGGGTACAGATGGCTTTGGTGTGCTTTCTTTTCTGCTACTGTTGTTTTGCTGTATTCTATGTGTTGAGCAGGATGTCGTGTTTTTAAGTGGTATCAGACCTGTAGAGGAGACATTCTTGAGCATCATGCCCTCTTACATGAACCTGAACAGTGATTATATTTGCTTATCTAATATTCCTCCTAAAAACTGTGAAATACTTCCATGCAGCCTTTTTTTTCTACCGTTTATCTACAGCTGCTCAAACCGTTGTCTGCACTGACCAGTACAGAAGAGCAAAGGATAAAACAACATTTTAAATTTTAAATTAAATGACCATTTCTCTGTTTTATTATCATTCAGATGATTTGTTAATTGTTAGATTTTGACACTACGTTGTAGTCCTTTTTTAATCTTTTGTGTTTTCCACCTTTTTTCTCTTTCAGCCAAAAACTGAAAGTGTTGCTTTTGACTTTTTGGTCAAAATATTTTGGTGACTAAAATTTCACCGCATCTATATAACGATTTTTTCTTGTTTTTTTCTTGCTTTTACGTCATTTGAAAATGTTAGCTGCCTTTTATGTTGTGTGAATGTTTTATGGCACATTGGCCAGTAGAAATTGTCCAAAATTGCTTGGAACATGTCAGCAAAATTATAATACCACAATATTTAAGAACATTTTCACAAAATGCTATTTAGTTTTTCTGATATTTGAAAAGGTGGAGCAGACAAAAAAGAACCTGTACTTAAAAAATACTATTAAAAACTATGAGTTCAATGATTGTTGTACATGTATATCAACATTTAATATTCTGCACGGCACTGAATCCCGTTTAAAAGGACTAATTATGTTCTCTTTTTAATGAAACATGCAGCTGTTCAGACCGAATCCACAATATACTCAGAAAAGCATGATACTAATAAATATTGTCATATTGCCCACCATATTGACTTTTCTGAGGTTTGTAGTCGAGATTTCAAAGATATACCTAACTTTTCTTTATCACTGCTGTCAAAACAAAATGTTGTATCTCCAAAATGGTAACTTTTACCGGAGAAGGAAAAAACATTCTTAACTTCGAATGGAAGTTAATGGAACTAGAATTTTTCCTCAAGTGCTTTTGGACCATTTCTGTTGGTCCGTTCTTTATTTTGACACATTGTAAAGGTCAGTTAACATTTTAAGATTCTGTACAAAACAACAAAAATGGAGATACAGCAGTGTTATGCTATGATTACTCATAAACTCTGCAGACAGGTTTAGAGTCGTATGCAAAGGTTTGGGCGTCTCTGGTTATATAACATTTTGTTGATTTTGTTGAAGTACAAAATACGTAACACATCCACTACAGAGCCCACTTGTGCACATTTTAATGCAATTTTATGGTTTATTCGCTGAATTTAATAAATTAGGGGGAAAAAAATATATAAAATGCGGCCTGTGCAAAAGTTATGGCACATTTTATAGTGTATATATATATTTTTAATCTGTTAAGCTCTGCAAATAAATAAAAATAAAAACTGTGCACATAAATTTGCTGACAAATAGCATATTTAAATTTGTTCCCTGTAGAAAATGTGTTATTTTCACTTTTGTATATAACTGTACACGCATGTTTGCATAAGTATAAATCACCCTAGGCTTGTCTCCTAAACAGACACATCACAGTGCGTACTCTCTCCTCATACACTCGGGAGAATAATTCAGCATTATCATCCAATCAGTGAAGTCAAAATCAAATAAAATTTGTACAGACATTTGATTTCTAAGAAGGATGTTAAAGGAGTTAAAATGTGCTTTCTGTTTTTAGAAATGTAGTGGGTTTATAGTGGCGAGAACCAGCCATCTGTCAACGTTTTCTGCTTTTTCTTCTCACAGGTCCAATCAGTCAGAAAATGTATGCTGTACTGCCATGTGGAGGAATTGGGGTAAGTGCGATCTAGCCATCCATCCCTTCATTTACACAGATCATTAATTGTATTCATCCCCTCATCAGATTTCATGTCAACAAACTATAGTTTTATCATGTTGTTTCGGATATCTACTTTGTACATGATACAAGCAATTTTTGCAGTGTTTACAAATAGAACAATTCACTTATAATTTACTATGTCAAAATTCCAGGTGGTCAGAAGTTTACATACACCAAGTTCACTGTGTCTTTAAATAGCTTGGAAAACAAGGCTTTAGAAGCCTCTGATAGGCTAATCGACATCATTTGAGTTAACTGGAGGTACCTGTGGCAGTATTTTAAGGCCTCACTTTAAGGCCTTCTTGCCTCTTTGCTTGACATCATGGGGAATTCAAAAGAAATCAGCCAAGACATCAGAAAAAGAATTGTGGACCTCCTCAAGTCTGGTATATCCTTTGGAGAAAATGCTTGAAGGTACCACTTTCATCTGTTCAAACGATAACATGCAAGCTTAAACACCATGAGACCATGCAGCCATCATACCATTCAGGAAGAAGACGCATTCTGTCTCCTAGAGATGAACGGACTTTGATGCGAAATATACAAATCAAGAACAACAGCAAACAACCTAGAGAAGATGTTGAAGGAAACAGGTACAGAAGTATATATCAACAGTAAAACGTGTCCTATATCAACATAACCTGAAAGGCCAACAGCAGGGAAGAAGCCACTGATCCAAAACTTCCATAAAAAAATGCAGGTATCAGTTTTGCAACTGCTCTGGTCTGATGAAACGAAAATGGAACTGTTTGGACATAATGACCATCATTATATACGGAGAGAAAAGGAGGAGGCTTGCAAGCCAAAGAACTCCATCACAACCGTGAAGCATGGTGGTGGCAGCATCATGTTGTGGGGTGCTTTGCTGTAGGAGGGACTGGTACACTTTCCAAAATAGATGGCATTATGAGGAAGGAAAATTATGTGGGGATACTGAAGCAACATCTCAAGACATCAAATGGACAGTGACTCCAAGCATAATTCCCAAGCTGTGGTATGGTTTAAGGACAACAAAGTGAAGGTAATGGAGTGGTCATCACGAAGCACTGACCTCAATCCCACAGAAAATTTATGGGCAGAACTGAAAAAGTGTGTGCGAGCAAGGAGGCCTCGAAACAGTCCTGGCAGGAGGAACGAGCCAAAATTCCAGCAACTTATGTAAGAAGTTTGTGGAAGGCTATGCAGAGCGTTTGACCCAAGTTGAACAATTTAAAGGCAATGCTACCAAATACTAGCTGTGTGTATGTAAACTTCTGAGCCACTGGGAATGTGACGAAAGAAATAAAAGCTGACATAATTCATTGTCTCCAGTATAATTCTGGCATTTCACTTTCTTAAAATATAGTAGTGATCCTAACTGACCTAAGAGAGGAAATGTGTACTAGGATTAAGTGTCAGGAATTGTGAAGAGCTGAGTTTAAATGAATGTGGCTGAGGTGTATGTAAACCTAGGACTTCAACTGTATTTATCCAGCCATTCATCTTGTTTTCCCATCCGTCACTGTGATGTACATTTTTCCTTTTTTCCCTCCCTCCTTCTCCATTCATGCTAGCGTTTTTCCCCTTCTTTCCTGACAGTTATGAGTGCAGTTTGGATGTTGTAAGCTTGCAGTAATGTTGCACCTCCATAGATGTAATGTTGGTTAACTTTCCTGCAGGTGGACAGTGATACAGTGTGGAATGAGATGCACTCTTCAGGTGCCGTGCGAATGGCAGTGGGCTGCGTCATCGAGCTGGCCTTCAAAGTAGCAGCCGGAGAATTAAAGGTAACTCAGAAACATGATCGATTTCACCTTCATGTAAATTTCACCTCATGTATCTGCAAGGCTTTCATTTTTCCTGAAGCTTATGTGCTTAAGCCATTGTTTTGATGTTGCATTCTTTGTAATATTTGTATATTTACATTATTTACATTATTTATATTCTGTTCTGTAAAAATAACAAAAATAATGAAGCAATTGCAAACTTATATTCTTGACCTAAGTTGCTCTTTAATCACCTTTCTTTCGTCTTTTTGGTAAACAGAATGGGTTTGCGGTGGTCCGTCCTCCTGGTCATCATGCAGAGGAGTCCACAGCCATGTGAGTAGTGTGGAAATCGCACAGTAATAATTTTAATAAATTAAAGGGCCCATGGCCTACATTTTTCAGTGTTTCACTGAAGTATTCTTATGACTTTTGAATAGATTTAGGAATCAACCGGCTGTTTTTGTTACTGTGCCTTTAAGACTGATATATATATATATATATATATGTATGTATGTATGTATAAATGATCTCTGTTCTGATTGGCTGCACTGTATTTTGCCTCGTCCAGGCTGAAACAGTCCTTAGAACTTCAGCGAGAATGTGCCAAATAGGCAAATGTGTGTAAATAAGTTGGTTTTTGTGACTTCACAAAAACAACAAATTCAAATAGGGCTGTTTTGGCAGCATAGTTTCCATATATTGACAGTATTTGAAACTTCAGCAGTGATTACATACTTAATAAAGATATTTAATAAAGAAGTGAGAAAGATCTGTTTTTTCATGATATGGGCCCTTTAAATAAATAATAGTAATATTCACAAGCTGCCTCGCTGACACACTGATGTGTAAGGGTAAAAGGCCAAGCTGCTCTCTTAATAATGATGGTGTTCTTATGCTTAATGCATGTGAGAGCAACAGAAATGACAGATTATCCGTACATGAGGCAGAGTCTGATTAAATGCTAAATGCTGTGTCATGCTGTCATTTTAAAGCTCCAGTCAGATGTTACAGCAATGATGCAGGACTACTTCGGTTGTTGAGTTTAAGTTTTACTACAGCAAACATACACTTTATGTCCTCAGGTGTGTAGACACCCATTTTTTTCTGAAATCAAGAGTATTAATAGGGAGTTTGTCTCCCTTTTCTGCACTCACAGCCTCTACTCTTTTGGGAAGGTTTTATACTAGATGTTGGAACATTGCTGTGATTATTTGATTGCGTTCAGCCACAAGAGCATTAGTGAGGTCAGGTACTGATGTGGGATGATTAGATCTGGATCACAATCGCCACTTCAAATTATCTCACAGATATTGGCTGGAGCTCCATCATCCACAGCCCAATGCTGGGGTCTTGGTACCCCTCTTGCCGATGATTGGGATTGGGCATGCTGACCTTAGGCTCATGTGCAGCTGTGTCAGAGCATCCCACTCTATCGGAAACGCTTTTCTGTGGAGATAATACAAGCTGTATGTGTGCTGTTGAAAACCTGTGTCAGTGTTGGTAGCTGAATTCACTAAATAGGAGGGTTGTTTGGACACTTAGTGTATTGTACAGTTTAGAGGGTGCAGCCTTTTGGCAGTGTCATTCATTGTTCTTACTTTGCGAAGCTCTGGTTATAACTTACTCTTTTTTATTTGTAGGGGATTCTGCTTCTTCAATTCAGTGGCCGTCACAGCCAAGCTGCTACAGCAGAAACTGGGCGTGGGAAAAATCCTCATTGTAGACTGGGTGAGAGTAAAAACCAAAAACTTTTATGAGCTACTACTTACTGCACAGGTTCATGTCTGTGTTATATTGGTACTTTGATATATACTGTCATATTCTAAAGGTTTTCAGCTAATTTTTGTGCACAGTTTCTGTGTGTGTGCTGAGTGTAACATAGTGACTCTTTCAGTAGTGAGCTCTGGTGTAGAGCTCCCGCCACTGTTTTCCATTTCTGAAAACCCACTGATTAGGCTGCTGCTCATATTCAGTCAGTGATGTATCTGGGACTTCCAGAAGGCCTAGAGTGACATTTTTCTTACAAAATTGGTCCCAACCACTGGAAATCAAAATGTGATTGGATGATTCCTTTGTCACTTCATAACTAATCTAATGCATTAGGTCTTCTCTTTGGCGCTTGACCGATATGAGAGAGTCCATGCTTTGACATTACATTTTTTGTCAAGAACAAGAACTGCAATGAGTTAAGACATGTCACTCTTTAATCAGAGCTTATAGCTGTACCAGTCCTGTGTTGATAATATCTGGGGCTCATGCAAAGTATGAGGTATGGTAACAAAAAAACTCTCACCTGTGCTGTCATACAGGACATTCACCATGGTAATGGGACCCAGCAGGCCTTTTACAATGACCCCAACGTGTTGTACATCTCTCTGCACCGCTACGATGACGGCAACTTCTTTCCAGGCAGCGGGGCTCCTGAAGAGGTGAGAGTTTAGAAATATGTGTGGTGCTTTCGCTTCATTGACTAAAGAAACCTACGCAATTGAGTCAGGCCCTGTTCACACCTGGCATTAACACGCATCCTAGTACAGGTGTGAACGGTGTCCGGTGCGTCTCAGAGCGTTGTGTTTTATAATCTATTATAGAATGAACAGACTAGAGTCACTAGAGGGCCCAGTTCCATTTCTTCTTTTTACCCCTACCCCTTGTTTTCGAGTGTCACCCTAACCCTTTGGAATTGAGTTGAAATCTTGCCCTACGAAATCGAAATTGGACAACCCTCAAATTAGAAATTGTTTCATTAACAGGCTTCTAGCGGTGCTCTGTAGGCGACCTGGTCCATCTTCAGTGATAGCAGAGAAGGGAAAAATTCAGCAACCTCACTGCTGGGTTTTAGATACATTTAGGGCATCATACGCCTTCAGAGAGGGGGTGTAAGACAAATATTTATTATCACCAACCGCTAATTCTTTGGTGATACGAAGCTAAAGTCCGCAATTCGCCAGTTTCTTGTTCGAATTTTCACGTTCCACCTTAAATGGTGCAGCAGTTACAGTCGTCAGTCGTCAGTACTGCTGGACTATTGAAGGTGGAACGGGAAAGTTAGCTAGCTAGCTACCGAGACATTAGCATGCTATTAGCGATTTGTTATGCTTGTTATGAAGAAAAGGACCATAATACATTGAAATGACATTAAACTAAGATAATACAATGGTTTTCGTAATTTTTTAATGGAGAAAGTACTTACATTTGTGGGTTTCTTTGGTCGCTCGCGCACCCATCTTGTCAGTTTTTCTTTTTTCTCATAACACTCTGTTTGGAATGTGCCTCTGAAAAACCTTTGTTTGGAGGGCCATGTAGCCCTAACACTTCGCCATACCCCTCTATCTCAACAAAAACGGGGACACCCTACCCCTAGACGTGAATGCGCAAAACAGAGTGCTAAGGGCTAAGTGGTAGGGGGAAGGGGTGAAATGGGATTGGGCCAAGGTGGTCAATCCAGGTCCAGAAAGTAAAAACCTTCCCCAGGATTTTATACCAACTGCCTGAACACCTTTGCTTTTTAGACCTGAATTACCCACCTCTATTGATAAGGGACAGATAAGACCACATAACATTTGTAGCGTGAACCCTAAAGCATCCAGGATCGTTCCTGGCGGCATCGATTGTTTGGCTAATGAAGTACATCATCACAGTAGAGGTGACAGTAGCTGTGTTGCTTCTTCCTTTTTGTATAAATATTAAAAATAAATAGTGCTTTTAACGCGCCACACATTATGCGAAAAAAGGGATTCACTGAACTGTTTTTTTTCAAACAAAAATGCACAGAGAGACTGGCGTAATAAATGTGTGTGGTATCCTTACTCCAGTTGCAAAATCCAATCATAAGCGGTCACTGGAGACATGTTCATGACACAGGTGTAAACAGCTATAAATCTTGCTGTCCACTTGCGATCAGATCACTCACTGAGTATAAACAGGCCTCACAGACAGATTACGTCTGCAGAAATGTATGCTGGTCCAGCTTTGTTGTTTTTTCCTCTGATTTACTGCCACCCAGAAAATGTTTGGTCTCATGCCTCGACCTCTCTCTGTCTCTGCAGGTGGGAGTGGGGCCAGGTGTGGGCTTTAATGTGAACATTGCCTGGACAGGAGGAGTGGACCCTCCCATGGGAGATGTTGAGTACCTCACAGCCTTCAGGTTAGAGCACCTCCTCACTCCTCTTATAACCAGCACTCATCTATATGCTACTCAACCTTCATACTCATCTCTAAAAATGGACAAACATACAGACCAAATTCAGGCTTCTAGATGATGCTACTTTAGCTTTACAGTGTTCTTTTGTTCATTTTAATGGGCAACAGTATGCCATACAGCATCACAAACCACATAAGCAAGCCAATGGGCTATAAGATGAGCTATAAGCTTCCATTAGTAATTAGCTACATTCGTTTATTGACTATATTTGGGTTAAAGTAAAAATGTAAATTTGAACTTTCACTGAACTATTCCTTTATTAATTTGTTGTCAATATGCAGCTTGAACTCCTACATCCTTCCAGAGTAGTTGTAGATTATTAAAGGTCTTGCTGTTTGTCTGTGTGTCCCAACAGGACAGTGGTAATGCCCATCGCCAACGAATTCTCCCCTGACGTGGTGCTGGTGTCGGCTGGCTTCGACGCCGTTGAGGGCCACCAGTCCCCTCTTGGTGGCTACAACGTCACCGCCAAATGTGAGCCAACCGACCCAGTTCGTGATAATGTGTGCAGTGTAGTCCATGTTTAGTTTGGGTTGTATGTTTACTATTAGAGTGTTAATCCCTTTATTATTGTACAATAGTATCAGTATTGTAGCAGAGGAGGGTTGTTGGGCTCCTGCATATTTTTGACTCTGTCACCCTCTACAGGCAGACATTTGTATTGCATTGCCACTGCTATTAAAGATGCACTACTATTAAAAAGAGTTCAGAAGAATGTTTTAACATTCTTATTAGTTGCAGATTGATTTATAATATGTTTCTAAAATGTTAATCCTGAACAAGTATACAGGTTTCAAGTAATCAGGAACTAGGAGGCTGTAAATATATGTATATATATTTTTTTAAATCTGTTCAAAATGATGAACAGACCTATAGATAACAGTAAAAAAAGCTATCTAGCACCAAGAATAAAGAAGTTATAATACAAATATCTAGAATGCCTCATATTTCAAAAGTGGTTGTCAAATCTTGAGACAGATAACTTGCAAACAGGTGATTACAGTGTATTATTTATCATTTGAAAACTTTGTGTTATTGTAGCCCTGTAATTCTTTAAATGTTAAATAAAATGTCTACAAATACCCTTTAATCTAGTTTCTAACATTTAAATCTACATGGTTTTATTGTATATTGTATTGTGACATAACCAAAACATTATCAACAGCAGTGTGAAAAACCTTATACATTCTACTGACCGGAGCTGGAATGAGTGTTTGGGTAGCTTGTATTTATCCCAGCATGCTGTTTGCCCACAGGCTTCGGTCACCTGACCAAGCAGCTGATGAAGCTGGCAGGCGGTCGTGTGGTCTTGGTGCTGGAGGGGGGTCATGACCTTACAGCTATCTGCGACGCCTCAGAATCCTGCGTGGCTGCTTTGCTCGGCGACGAGGTGCTCATCAAACCTACAACTTCAGACTGCAGATTACTTGTTGAGACAAGAGCTAATCAAAATGCTGTTCTGAGCTGCATTTTACAGGCATTGAAAACTCATTTGTGTTTCTGAAGGAGTACTTGTTCTCTAAATCATGCTTAAAAACTCTAATGGAAAAGATTTGCTGTTTGTACTGTCAAAACTGTTTAATTAGAAAAGGCAAGGAGAAAATAGAGCTCATAGATATTCCAGTTACCTGAGTCAGAGGCACTGCGGTTTTTGCACTGAGCATTTTTTTAATTGTTCGTTTATTTAAATTGTTTCCACACACGTAAAGCATCTCTGCTTTTTTAGCTTTATTGCTCACGTGGGAAGCAATTAAGTTTGTTTTCGAAATATATGTTCCATCTAAAGGCTTTTGCTCCTGTAGACTGTATTTTAGGCTGCAGTTTTTGTGGCTTAAAACAAGATGAAGGTTCTGAATACTAAGCAGAGAAAGGAGTAACGTAACAAACTAATAATCAAGTATTCAAATTATTTGGGACAGCGTTAGACAACACCCAATCAGATTCTTTACGTCAGACAACAACCAGTCACATTCTTTATATCAGACAACGCACACTCCAGTTATTCAACTCTGGCATCACCCAGTGAAATTATTTACTACAGGCAACAATACAACAAATACAATATGTAAGATCTGTATAATCTGCATTTACAAGTATCATGACGTTCTCTTCTGAACATTTCTTGTCTCTGTATGTGTGCAGTTGGATCCTCTGCCTCAGACTGTGCTTCAGCAGAAACCCTGTCCAAAAGCCACAGCTTCCCTTGAGAGAGTCATTGAAATTCAGAGTAAGTAGAAGAGAGAGAGAGGGTGGGAAGGAGGGAGGGGGCAGTGCTGTTTCCATTTGGCTACCCTAAAACGTTGTGCTGGTTCATCTCATTAGACAGGTTTAAAGTGTTAGATGGTGCAGGCGAAGGAAGCAGCAATTACTGGCAATGTTTTACAAAAATCAGCTAAACGTCATTTCTGTTAATTTCAGTGAATAAATTATTTGTTAATAAATGTTGAATAATGCAGTTAAACGTAAATTTAGTGTCATGTGACAGGATTTTTATCATGTGCCTGTCCTACAACAAACCAGCAAAACAGGTTTTCTGTTAGTTCTCAACTACACCCTTCCAGAACTTCTCATGTACTGTCTTTTCTATAAATATGGCCTACAGCACATTAAAAAGACAGTTTCTTTCATCATGCAAGCACTTGCACAACATACCATTGTTTCTGGAGAATGTGTTAATTAATGTGTTAATCGGTTAGACATCAGTTATAACAAGCTGGCCAATATGAAATAATTCTCTGTATATTTTGTCTATTTTAAAGGGGAATTCCACTATTTTTTCAATATGCCTGCATAAGTAAATGATTAAGATGTAAACAAAGTCATTCACAGTGGTTTGATGTGAAATGATTCTTTCTAGAGAAACTTAAAGAGTCAGAATTGTTCATGGTGGTGCTGATAGGAACCAGCTGTCCTAAATGTTTAATGTTTAATTTCACATTAAACTGTTCTGAATTACTTTATTTTATGTCTCAAAGGTGGAATTAGGCCAAAATGTAAAACATCCCCTTAAAGTCAGGGAAGAGTGTTCATGGTTTGCAATATTCATGAAATTCTTGATGCAAACATGTCAATTTTCTTCCCATGCACCCCCACCCCCTTCTCTGTGTAGGTGAACACTGGGCCTCAGTGCAGCGGTCAGCTCCAACAGTAGGTCAGTCCCTGCTGGACGCTCAGCGGCGGGAAAAGGATGAGGCCGACACAGTGACGGCCATGGCCTCTCTCACTGTGGACACGGAGCAGTCAGCAGCCTCCTCACAGAGCAGCAGGTAACACACCCACACAGCATCACACAGACAGCTTTGTCCCCTCACTCATGCGTGCTCATCTCAAAGGGCTTCACTGACAGGCTCAGTAACACGGTCTTATGCAAAAGTTTGAACACCCCTGGTCAAATGACATGTTCTGTTGATTTTCTAAGTGAAAATAATTTAGTGTGAAAATAACACACTTAAATATGGCATTTTCTGTTCATTGAAATGCACAATCTCTTAAATAGAACATAAAATATAAAATGTGCCATAACTTTTGCCACATTTTATTTATTTATTTATTTATTTTTTAAACTATGTCTGATTAAACAAATGAACAGTAATTGTGCATTAAAAGAAGTGTTTTCTCTGTAGAGGATGTGTACTTACTTTCACTTCATAAGTCTGTTTAACCTTATGTTAAAATGAGCCTCTTTAAAGTTGAAAAATCAGATGCACACAGTTTTCCCTCTAAAGAGTAATGAAAGTGATGTAGGTAACAAGTAATGCAAACTTTTACCTCACCATTTAGCATTGTGCTAACTGCAACACACATTTCTGACACACTGTTATCAGTTAAAATGAACGAAAGTACATTGCATAGAACAAAATAGCAGCATCCATCTTTAGGCCTGAACTTTGGCTGTACTATTGTATAACTATTGCTATAAGCTCCTATTACTTGTTAGTCACTAAATGAAGCACCAACTACATCTATAAATATTTGTCTCATGTTTTCACACCTTGCTAATAAATGTGGAGAAACTATATCCTTTAAAACCTTTAAAGGGCCCATATCCTACATTTTTTTGGCATTTTATTTTGTTCCCTTAGGTTAACACCAGCTCTTCAACTCAGTAAGGGGTTGTTAATGAACTAAATAGTTGAATTAGGTGTGTTGAAAGCAGTAAAAACACTAAAATGTGCAGGGCAGGGGGTTCCCCACAACCAGGATTGGGAAACAGTTACTTAAGATATATGTGTGTTTTTTGTACCAAAAACATTAATTTTTCTATTTTCTATTTTTCATTTTCCAGCCTCACTTTATCCCTTAGAATTAAACAGGCTGTTTTTGTTACTATGCCTTTAATACTGATATATGTAAACAAGATGTTATAAATGAGGAGACTGGAACACTTGTAACGCGCAACATGGCATCTATTTGCAGAGAAGGTCTCATCCTTCAAAAAAAAGAGCCAATCAGTTTGCTGGTCAGTCAGTGATAATTGTGCAGTATCAGAAGTAACACATTATACTATATGTTTTGTTACTAAATCATAAAAATAAAAAATGAAGCTAAACAATGTGAAGTTGTATTAAAATATCTATTCTCTTATTGGCTGAGTGAGTTATCACAAATCTTAGGCTTTCTTAATTAACCACTCATCTCCCCTCATCCCTCAGGGCTGCCGAGGAACCAATGGAAGAGGAGCCTGTGTTGTAGGAGGAAACATCCAGCCTGAATCACCGCGGTGACCTCAGCGTCCACACCCGCTTGGCTACACCAGTCACCCTCGAGTCACGCCTCCTTTTCCTCCACCCAGCTTTATGATTGGTTTCCTCGGCCCTTCGCTAATTTCCAGGTGCTTGACGGACATACACACAGTCGCCCACCCTCTGCTTTTCCTGAACGTCCTAAAAACAGGCGACACACACAGACGGCAGCGGGGGAACGGGCAGCCGACCGGACATCCAGACTGGACATCCGGAAGTGGGACCTTTTCAGCAAGGCCTTGGTTTTATTTTCTCTCCTTTCGGTGGACGGAGGAAGTAAGAAAAAAGAGAGAAAGAGAAGGAAAACTACAGACGAGCAGACAGACAAACAGACAGACAGCGCTGGGATGTTGTCATGGCAACAAAAAAAGAAAATAAGTAAATAAAAAAGCTTTGTACATTTCCTGTACTTTATACAAAACATGTTTAAAATGGAAAAAGCCAACAAGCAGCAAAAATATTTCAACACCAAACACACACGCACTAAAACTGTTTTGACCGTCATGAAACTAGCTCACTTTTTTGCAAACGTGAGAACCTCTTTCTTCTCTGTTGTGTCTGTCAGTTCGTTCACTTGTCCGTATGTACAAATATCTTGTTCAGAAAAAGCACACAAACATATATGGATATTATATATGTAGAAGCATATATATATATATATATATATATATATATATATATATATATATATATATATATATATATGGGGTTTTGTGTGTGATGTATAAACACACATGTACACTTTGTATTCCCTTTATCATCTACACAGAAGTTGAGCCCGCAACCTTTTTTGGCGCTCGAGAAAGCAAGGTTTTCTTGGCGTCCGGCCAATTTTCGAGAACTTTTGCTATTTTTTTAATGTCTCACAAAAGTACAGGACTATTTTTGGAGGGCATATGACTCACTACAACTACCGCACACTCATAAACAATGGCCGTGCATTGACTGAAGGAGTGAGGACTGAAAAATATGTGGAACACTTTCAGTATTTTTCTCTGTCTTTCCTGACCTTGACAAGGGAATGTGGATGGACGCATAGAAAGAACTCGGTGCCTTTTATACTAAAGAATATATTTAAAACACAAACACCACCTATTGCATCAGACATCCACAGTAATACAGCTCTTGTGATGATTTGTTTGTTTTTTTGTTGGTTTTGTTTTGTTCTTTTTTTCCTGTTTCAAACTGCCTTAATTTTTGAGAGAGCGCCGTTTTTAGCCATCCAGTTGGAGAGCACACTGAGGACTTGGGCCCTCTTTCCCTTCTTTCTCTTTTCCTTCTTTCAGGGTGTACATGTTCTGCCCGTGGTAAAAGGTCAGAGGTCTGACCTTAAGCCTTGTCGTTGCTATTTTTTTCTTTTTTTGTTTATGTGTTTGTTTTTCAGTCTTGTGCCGTGCAGCGGCATGTAGTGTGATCTGATCGTATGGAATTGCTCATGATGATGATGACCAACTTGTGTTTTTTTTTTTGTTTGTTGTTTTTTGGGTCACGTTTCTCCTTTGTACATAGCATTTAGCTCTCTTTTCTCTTTGGACGTCTTTGGAAGTTCAATAATGAAAACTTTTTTTCCATTAAGTTTTCTGAGGACTTTTAAATGTCTGTGGTCACTTTTATATGGAAACGTTTCCTCTTTTTTTTTTATGAAAACTCAAAAGAAAAAAACAAAAACAAACGATCAGTGTTAATCTGCTCAGTCAATCTAAAATATTCTGTATCAAACAAGTGTAATGTGCTGGGTGCAGATGCACGATGTTTGTTAGTTGTTTTTGTTGTTGTTTTCTTTTTTTTGTTTTCTTCCTAAGTGATGTTTATGTGTTGTGTCACTGCGCGATGAATGTGGCATCAGGGTTTTAAGGGCAGATACGAATTTTGTTCCTTAAAAGACAAAAAAAAAACACAGTTACAGATATTTTTCTTTTTATAATGTATCACTGATTACAGGCAATAAGGTCAAACACCACTTTGGCTTCGAACACTACACATACTCTGCCACCTTCTGCAAGAATATCGGCCACTTTCATTGCCCATTGATATAGCTTTACTTCTTTGATTATTTTTGCACCAGATAAATTTTATTTTCGTAACTCGACGGTTTGTTGTTTTGTACGTGTATAAAAGTGGGTGACGCTCTTGCCGTTCACTGACTTTACCTTTAAATAAGACAGCAGGCCGTTCTTCTGCAGGAACTTTGTGTAGGGACTTCTCTTTGGGCCAATTTCAGTCCAGCCTTCTGTCACTTTGAGACATATCTGTATTCAAAACCTGAGAATTATTGTTGTAGGCATTTCTCCTGGTCAGCAAATGATTCATTAAGGGAAAAAAATAATAAATAAAAAGCGCATTAATACTGTTTAGAATGGCATGTTTGTAGCTTCAGGGCTGAACTTGGCCTAAAACTTCAGCCCAACACTGCTGTGAGACACAACTCTAAATACTCTTATATACATATATACAGTACATGTACCAAATTTGGTCATGGGGGAAAAGAAGTGGAGTTTATTCTAGCTTTTATCTTAAATCCGATGTGGAACGTCTCGTCCGGTTGTTGCTTTCTGGGCACTTTTTTAAAATCCTCGTCCGTGCAGAAAAAGGAAACGTTGATCCGGCATTTCTTGACTCTCTCTCCTTTATTTATTTGGAGTCAGAAATGGACGCTGAAGGAAAGTTGCTTTTGGATTTCCGAGGTGTTTTTTCGAAGCCTTGAATCTTCGTCTTATTGTAAATCTTTTGAAATATGTGTTCGTTCACTCAGCCTCACAGCCTTTGGGCAATAATTTACTATTATATATTGCACAACTCTAAAAGGCAACATAAGCGAAGTTATGGCCAGTTTTCCGTAATCCTCCAGAATAGTGTTAAGACTTTTTAACACGTTCCATTCACGTTGCGAGCTCCGTTTCGAAAACACTGAAGTCACTCATAGTCTGCGACAGTTGCTCGTTTGTTTGTGGTCGATTGCTTGTCATTCGTTTCCTTCATCGGCGTACCAGCTTGTTCCGGTCACTTTCTTTGGTGGTCTTGAGCTTGGAGCACATGTGCCTGACGTCGCACACAGACACACTAGGTGTGTGTTTCTGCATGACAGGGTTGGAAGTGTGGTTAAAAAAAGTAAAGCAGTCACCTGAGACATAAGACACTTTGTGTAAAAAAATAAAAAAAATAACACAATAAAAAACAAGGAAAAAAACTAACAGGGTTCCAACATAGTGCTTGGACCCCTAATAACAACTGGGGCCTATTTGGGCCGTTGTAATTAAAATGCTGTAATATGTACAGAGAGAACTCCCCCGTGTGTGTGGCTGTGGGCTTTACTGTCCCAACGAGAACTACTGTGACCATGTTTTTGTAACGTTTCGATGTAGATCACTGACCATTGCGATTTGTGCAGTTTTGTATCGCAAATCCTGTATCACGGCTGTGCAGTGGGTGGTGAAAGGCTTTTTTTTCCCCAAACAGGTCGTGCTCTTTCGGATGTGCTGGTGCCGTGCCCTTTTTTGGGCCTTTACTTTCTTTCTGAGTGTCGAATGAGAGCAGCAGGCAGAGAGGACAACCAGTTTTTTTTTTCTTTTATTTCTTTTTATTTTGAGGAATGTGATCTAAAACATGGCCTCCACCGCGAAAAGTTTTTCTTTAAAAAAAAAAACAAAAAAAAGACACAAAGGCAACAGTATGAAGAGGGCCTTAAAGTGGACACTGGAAGACCTCTTTTTTCGTGTAAAAGGTTATCAACATTCACCATTGAAGATAGCTTTGTTGTCGCCGCCACACTATTTTGCTATTCAGTAAATATGTATATTTATTGATATTTCATATGTTGTGTATATGTAGTGCCCTTTGATCGTCGAGGTTCAGAGTACTTGTATATTTTTTGACTTTTTTCGAACGAGAGGTTGTGTCTCTTCAGTCGTCCCTCCATCGCTCTGGTGTTCTCTCCGTCGCCACTTCTACGTGATTGGATGTTTGAATATGTGACCGTCTTTTAACCTTACATTTTTAATATTCTCTCTCTCTCTCTCAATGTCTTTCTTTCTTCTGGTCATATTGATATGCAGAAGTTGAAATTATCAAAAAGCACATTCCTTAATTTTCTTGTGTTTCTCTTTTGATGCTTTCATGTTGCGACAATACAAAGGTGTGTATACTAACTGCTACACACGTGTATATAGAGTGCATATATGTGTACACATGTGCAATACACGCTATTTGAGCAATCTATTACTGTGATTATAATTCATTAAAATTGCTGTCTCTTTGAGTTGCTGTTCTTTCTCTTTATTGTCTCACTGCACAAGCACTACACAAGGCAATGCCCGTGATTTTATTTGTGGTTAGCCCACCATTGCGCCAGTGAACCACAGACATGGTACTCCAACTCATGGTAAACCTGCGTTGCCTGACTCATCAATATTTCTTCTTACATGTGCCTGTTTTCTGATCTACATACTTAAAAAGATACTTACAGAAAACTCTATAATTGGGATCATGAGAAGCAGAAAAGGCACTAACTTCTAAGCCTTTTTGGAGGTGTGGAAAAATATCCCTGCAGATTTCTTTGAATACCTGAAAGCAAATCTTCTGAAAAGAACAGAAGCTGTAATAAAGGTGAAGAGTGAACATACTGAATACTGAAAAAAAAAAAAAAATTAGTTGTTGAGGCTTTGGTGTAATTTTCTGTTGAATATAGGTTTCTGATAATATCTTGTACTTAATGGCCATTTTGACTGGAAATAAATTAAAGTGTTGTCTCTGACTTTTGCACAGTACTGCAGGTTACGTACATGTATACAAAAAAGAAGTAAAATACATACATAAATATATAATATATAATATATATATATATATATATATATATATATATATATATATATATAGTTTAGTCCAAACAAAAGCTTTATTATTCCAAATAACTTTTAATTATTTTTAAAATTATTAATCTATTAAGTTAAACTAAATGAGTTAAGTATTACTCTTCTTATCAAAAAAAAGGAAAAAAATATTTCTCTTATCATTCATCCTTTTCAGGGCTGTAACTCCATTTCTGTTTTAAATTCAACATTCGAAATTTGACATTTTTGGAACTGAATTTGAAAATTTGTTTTTGTGAATACAAAAATTTTGCAGATAAAATAAAATAATTAACGACACATTGAGGAGAAGTAATAGGATTTGTGCGGTAAGAAAAAGTATTTTTCCTAGAAAAGCTGCGACTCTGATTTACGGAAGATGAAAAAGAAAAAGAGAAATCTTCCGTTATGTCGCAGTCCTGCGTCAGCGGCGTGATGACGCGGCGGCTTTACGTAAGCGGCGCTCTCGGTCAGTGTGCGGGCGGAGGAAGATGGCGGCTCCTGCTGCGGGTGAGTACTTCAGCATCGGCAGCAGCGTCTCCTGCCTCACCTGCCTGGGCCAGCGCCTCCAGGGGGAGGTCATCGCCTTCGACTACCACACCAAGATGCTGACCCTGAGTATCCTTCATTTTTAACTCTCTTAACGGACAGCGTGGCTGAGCTCCTCGGAGGAGGAGGAGGAGGCGGCGGGGGGGACAGTAGTGACTTTAGCCAAACAGATCCGCGCAGCTCCGCCTCTACACATCCCTGGTTCACCGTGTCACTAAATACTGAATTGTAACTGTTTAGTGCCTTTTCTCCTCTAAAACACCCGCCTGGCCTCCTCACTCGAGTAGTAAAACATTCAGTGGGTTCTCATGGGCGTGTTGGGGCTTGAAAACACTATGTTAAGTCCGGACTGGAGAAGCAGCTCCGTCTGAAAGGTTAAACTCTGAAGTCAGCTTCTCATTCGAATTTTCCCGTTCCACCTTAAATTGTGCAGCAGTTACATTCTGATCGGTTAAGGTGGAACGGGGAAATTCGAGCAAGAAGCTGGAGAATAGGCTGACTTCAGCCTCGTAGCTCTGATTTAACTTCACACTATGTAGCTACGTGACAAAGCCCAGTGAAGTGATTTGAAGGCATGCAGAGTTGTGCTAAGTTAGCTAGTTACATCTTATTCGAAGGGAAGCTTTAAATGTAACAGCAAATGCTCAGTAAAGTCGTTGAGAAGTTCAAGCTGTAAGTCGTTGCTTATGCTGCCTATTGCAAGCTAAACTGTGGGCTAGCTTGCAAAGTCTTGGCCTAGTCTTGCTGTGATGGGTTTTAGTTACATAGCTAGTGTAAAATCCACATCTAAACATCACACTTAAGCCAGTAAAGCTGGACTCGGTTGTGTTGTGACCTAACGTTACCCACCCTCCGGTTTGATCCACGTGATTCCTGTGATTCCTAAGCTGTCAGAGCATCTGATATGGATTTCTAAAGCTGGCTCGCTTCTTTTATTTTTGTTGACCAGCATCAAATCATATACTGTTATTTATATTACCGCGTTCGCTGAAGTTGACGAGATTAACGCTGTCCACATTGAGTTCACCTCTAAAACTTGCCGTGCTAGCTAACCTAGCTAACTAGCGCCGTTAGCTAGCTTTGCTCACTTGGCTGCTACTACGGCTCCCCGTTTCTGTCGTTTAGCTGGAAGTGCGAGTGTTACATGATACTATTGTTTTCAGATTGTTTCTGAGCGGAGAGTGAAGTGTACCAGTGGGTTTCACTTCATTGCGGTGCAAACTCGGTCTCTTGCTAGCTTAACCTAGCCTGCTAAGCTAATAACGTTTGCTGTGTAACTGTAGGCTTTTCTAGCTGCTTGCTCGTCGTTAGCTCTTCAGTTTTTGTTCCAGTCAGCACTGTGAAATGTGCCATTTCTTTGAGGCACTTGTGTTAGAAGGACACTTAAAACTTGAGTTTTATCTCTGAGTGATGGCTAAGCCTAGCTAGCTAGCTAGCTAACAGGCTAAGGTCAGAAATGAGGCATGATGAGCAACGACTTTCCAACGGTGTCGTTTGCTCTGCTGACCTGAAGGAACCTGTACTTCTTGTTTGATATAGCCAATTTTTCTGTGTTTACACATGAATAGTGAAGAACCCTGTAGTCTGTAACGGAAAATTTCCTATTAAAACGACGTGCTATTTACAGTTACAAGATTACATGCTATTTTGTACTATTTCTTGTTACTGATTCAGCAATATTAGCCCGTATTTCAGTAATACATTTTTTTTTCTCCCCCCAAAATACGTACTCTCTTGACTTAAACTTGTATTGCCAGTATGAGAAGTATTCACAGTCGTGTGCAAATTCCCCTTTTTCCAGGGCAGTGAATCAAACCCAAGTCTCAAACGTGCAGGGCTGTGGTCTTATCTGTTATGCTGTAGCAACCAGCTTCAGTCTACTGTCCTTCAGCAGCTGTTACTGTTAAACTGGTGTTGTAGATATAAAATTTATTAAGTAGGGAATAGAGAATTGCACTCACATTTTCTAGGTAATATTATTTTCTCTAACCCTACTCTCCACTTCTCTCTTGAGCTTCTCCCAAAGCTCAGTGTTTATGCCATTTATAAAATGGCAGCAGAAATAAGCGTTTTGGTGTGCTGTGGTCACATGATTTACCAGGCGGAGTTAGTGCAAATAGCCAGGCTGTGTGGTTAACACTATTTTCGCTTGGTGTAAATAGTCACTGCCATTATATAATACTGTAAGAGCTATAAAAGAGGCAGTTGGAAGTCATGGTTAGGAGTGTCGAAAGTGAGAATATTGCTGAAGTTAATTTTATATAGCGTAAGAGAAAATAGAGTAGATTTTTTTTTTTTGTCCTCTCCACTACTGTGTTGAATGAATTCCTTATTGAGTCTATTGCTTAGTGTAACATTGACAAGCTGTTGATTTTCATATGAACTGCTTCATATCTACGTTTGCAGGTGACAGTTAAAGGGAAAAGTAATATAAAGTGCCTTGGAAAGGTGTTGGGCCACCAGAGCATCTTTAGGGTGCTTTGGCATACATTCTCCAAGTCTCTGGAACTGTACTGGAGGGATGGAAGACCATTTTATCAAAAGATATTCCCTCAGTTAAAATCTGTTGACTGCGAATAGCATATGATTTACATCATTTTACATCATCAGTGTTATCTTGAAAGAGGCCATTCTCATCAGGATAGAAATCATAGGAGAAAGGTGATCAGTGAGACCAACGCTGTACTGATTTGCAGTGATTGTCTAAGGGGTCAAACATTCAGGCCACTACTGTTAGCTTGAGCGTCACACATGCACTTGTGGAGAGTCATTGTTCCTGTTGATACTATTGATAGTCTTTACTATTGATTTGACTGAAGCTTTTTCAGTCTGTGCCCCAATAATGAACTTGTCTTTCAAAGTCATTTGGATCTTTTCCTCTTGATCCACAGTTGAGCCTGCTTAGTGTTTTTATACATGCCACAGAGCATGGTAGCATGTTAAGTGCATAATTGTGTCATGCAGTAGACGTGTCTGGAAGCATGTGCACTTATGTTTCTCCATACATTTATTCAGATATTTCCTTTGATTCGTCAGCCGTCTCTGTTTACCACCCTGGTGCTCTGAAAGACTGCTGACTGAGGGTTTTGCTGAGCCACAGTCATTACTACTGAAATGACAGCTTAGCTCAAATTTAAGTCTGTTAGAGAAAGCATGGGCTCATCTCCCCTCCACTACCAGACTTTCCCCCTTTTCTCTATTGAGTTTACAACTTACTGTAAAATTGGCAAGCTATGTGTCACAGGAAGTGCTGAAATGTTGGTGAACCTTAGACCCATCTCCCTGGCGGCAGACAAGTGTGCCTGTGGACGGCTGGCGAGTCAGCCAGTGTTGCCCTGTGGGTGCGATTGAAAGGCACTGGAGCCAGAAGGGTGAGGAATTTGCCCACGGCTACTGAAGTTTAAAACTTCTTTTGTCACTCAGTGTAGGTTGGCAGAGCATCAGGTATTACACCAGCATGTGTGCCCACTAGGTGGTAACAGAAGGCCACAGGCACAGTAACCCAAAGCTTGGAGACGTACTGTACTCTGTTTAGAGCAGAAACAACTGAGGATTGAATACTGAACATATTTCCACTCTACCTAGAAATTACACACTAACTGTTGCAGATTTTTGAGTAGTGAGGAGGGAAAAGCCAGCATGGATGTGAGGGGGAAATGGTTACGACTGTCATGTCTCTTGAAGTAGTAATGGAATTTGTGCATTTCCTGTACAGAAGAAGTCAGTATTAGTGCTGTTTTGGCACTGTGTGCTAATGCGACATTAGGTTGTGTATTATGTTGTCAGCTGTTTTTGAGCAGCATAATTTCATCAGCCTTTTAATACTGTTTCTCTCTGTTGCCTTAAAATAAGGGTGCGTGATATTGCAAGAATATAACATCATAGTACTTGTACAGTTGTATGCAAAAGTTTGAATAACCCTGGTTAGCTCCACGCGTTTTGATTTTTCATTTTGTTGATTGAAGTCACAAGCTCCCAACCCTAGTCTTGGAGTACCCCCGTCCTGCACAGGGCTAAAATGTCCGGGGCAAAGGTTACTCCAAGACCAAGGTTGGGAGCTACTGTTCTAAGTGAAAATATCAAGGTTTTTTGACACACAGAAATGTTTTTGACATTTAGAAACAACAACTTTGACACTTCTGCACCAATTCCTATTAAAAAGGACTAATTATGCTGTCTTTAATGAAACAAACAGTTGTTCTCAACAGACGTTATCACAGTAACGGTAGAATATCATCATATTTCTCACCTCTAACCTCCTCAGAAGGAACAAACTTAAATATGCATTTCTCTGCACATTTCTGTGAACAAATTCTGTTTATTTGCTGGCCAAATAAACAGTACATGTGCATTAAGATGTTATCTTTAGAGGATGTGGTAACTTATTTTCACTTAAAAAGCAACAAAATGTAATTTGACTGGGTTGCCCAAACTTTTGCATATGACTGTATGTCACAGTATTTCGTATTTCTGAGATTTGTGAACAAGTTGGATTGGACAAAATGCATCTGCGAAACAGTAGTGCCATATTTAATCAAGGCTGTAGAAATATAAAAAATACAAAAAATAAATGATTTAAGAAGGAACACGAGGAGATATCAAACAGCTGGTAAAAGTGAGTTACTAAAATAACTGAAGGTTTGACACCCAGTCAGGTACTTTTTGTTCCATTGAGGAGTTGCTATAGAGGAGCATGAGGCACACCTAACAAGTTGTGGTTTTTGCTTAATTATTTTGAAAGTATTTGACCAAGATTAACTCTTCCTGTATACAAGCAGCCTACACTTCTCTGCCACAAATGAAAGAGTAAATTGGCACAACAAAATTTAAAAACACTTTACTAGTATTTGCTAGGGCCTATGTTCTGGTCCATGTTGGCATGTTTGCATCATGCAGTTCCTGCAGATTTTTCAGGTGCACTTTCATGCTGCAAGTCTTCCGTTCTGCCACAAAGGTGTTCTATTGGATCCAGATCTGGTGATTTGTAAGGCCGCTGAAGAATTTTGAGCTCATTGTTGTGTTCATGAAACTGAGATGACTTTTGGTTTGTGACATGGTGCATTATCATGCTGGAAGTAGCCATTAATCAAATAGACTGTGGCATTCAAGCAATATATGATGGGTATTAATAGGCGTAGTTTAACAGTGTTTTTAACAAAGTTTACTAAAAAAAAACGTTTCCCACACCCTTACACCACCTCCACCAGCATGAACTGTTGACGCATGTCAGGTTGGATCCATAGATTCATGCTATTGGTGCCAAATTATGACTCTGTGCCACCTATGTACCTTAGCAAAAATTGAGATTCATCAGACCATCAGATTCATTCATCATTGTCTTCCAGCTGTCCAGTTTTGGTGAGCTTGTGCCCACTGCAGCCTCAGCTTTCTGTTCTTGGCTGACAGAAGTGGAGCCCGACGTGGTCTTCTGCTGTTGTAGCCCATTCACTGCAAGGTTCAGCGTGTGCATTCTGCGATGCTTTTCTGCTCACCACAATTGTACAGAGTGGTTATCTGAATTACTGTAGCCTTTCTGTTAGTTCAAACCAGTCTGGCCACTCTTCGATGACCTGATCAACAAGGTGCTTCTATCTGCAGATCTGCCGCTCACTGGATGCTTTTCTATATCACACCATTCTGAATAAACCCTAGAGACTGTTCTGCGTAAAAATCCTAGGAGATCAGCAGTTATAGAAATACTGAAGTAGCCTGTCTGACACCAACAGTCATGCCATGGTAAAAATCGCTGTGATCACATTTTTTCTCCATTATGATGGTTGATGTGAATGTATATTTTTACATGACATTTACAGCATGTTTTTCATAAATATGTACATTAAAAACCCTCTAGTAAAATTGACACCACATTACAACTAACCCCACAGTATTGAGGCTGTGCTAGCTAGCTCTCGTTGCGAATTGCTTCAGAATGGTGCTGTAGTACAGCCACTAAGCGTGTATAAATTAATACAGATGGGAATTCTGTGACTTACATAAAAAATATGGAAAACATATTTTTATGGTACAAAAAACATTTATTCAGGGTGAAAACATTCTTCCAGTTGAATCTGGAAAAATATGTCTTATTGCAGTGAAAATTTGCTGTTTACCAAGTATGGTCTACTTAAACTTGTTGATTTACATTAAATTACATTACAGTTTAACTACAAAAAGAATCTGTGCTACATTATACCCCACATTGTTTTGCTCCGCTCCCCTCTATACTCCTCTATAATTTTTTTTCTTTAATCTTTTTTTTAATCAAACATGTAGTTATTTATAGTTCTGTAAGTACTGATGAGACCCATAATATACTCAGGATAGCATATTGTGATAATTTACATCACAGTAATGTAAACGTGCTGCTTTTGTTTACGTATGGGACTGCACAATTGTATTAATAGGCTGTGATTAATGCACTCAAGTCCCAGTTACCATTTTGTTGTCAGTGTCTATTTCTGTTCCCACTATGTTTGTTGAGTATCTGCTGTGTGTTGTACTTGTTTGCCTTGACTGTCCTTCTCCAGAATGCGCCCCATCCAGTGGCAAGCCCAACCTTAGTGATGTGGTTCTCGTCAATTTAGCCTATGTATCCGAGGTGAACATTATCAACGACCGCACTGCGACTCCTCCACCATTAGCATCTCTTAATTTTAACAAGGTAAGGCCAAACAAGCCTTTGAACGTACATGACTCTGAAATGTCCTTCACTTTTTAATAAGAACATTTTTAACAACCGCAGTAAACCTGAAATATTTTTGTCATGCAAAATGGTAAAATCAAAACTGAATAATATATAGGTAAACCTATGTCAGTTTAGCTTTCTAACACTAGGCTGGCAAAAAGGGTGCTAAATGTTGTTTCATGTCATGGCTGATGTTATTCTGCAGTTTGAATTTTCATTCCACCTTAAATGGAACCGCAGTTACATTCTGGCTACCCTACGGGCTCCTGAATGTAACTATTGGACCATTTAAGGTGGAACAGGAAATTCGAATAATAAGCTTCACGTTTGTCAAATTTCTCTTATGTGCGTCCCATATATTCGTGCCTCCAGCTCGTACCAGCTGGTAAACGGCTTGTTTTGCAGACGAGGCCCTGATCACACTGGTGTCTGATGCTACTGACCGAGTCAGATGGCTTTTCAGGTGGTACAAGAGCAAAGCTCTCTGGTGTCCAAGTTAGGCACCGGCTAAGCCCAAAAGACCAGCCATCTCTTTTTAAACAAAGTGGACTAGTTGAGATGTACTGGCCTAGACAGCAGGAGTTGATGGAGGGCCTGTTGCATTTTCATTTAAAATATAACACAAGCATCCCTGACTCAGCCATTCAGCTAAACGGGCTACAGTTAGCGTGGTTGGCACTGAATGTATATTGCATTATCTGTGCGCATTTGGCACGTGCCAGTTAAACATTTATGACAAGACTTGTACCTGAAGAAGAATTCCAGTATTCCAGTATTCTGCCCATGACTACTGCGGTTTGAGTCGAGTCTCATGTGTTGTGTTATATATTGTTGAATGTGCAGGATTTGGTTTGATTCAAGGTGACTAATTGTGGCCCCTGGTTACTGGTACAGCGCTTTTGAACTGTTTGAAATGCCCTCACTTTCTTGTTCATCCACTCTTTTGTTCTGCAGCTTGCGAATAGAGCTCGGGCAGAAAAAGAAGACAAGTTGTCCCAGGCTTATGCAATTAGTGCTGGAGTCTCAGTGGAGGGCCAGCAGCTGTTCCAGACTATTCATAAAACGTAAGTGCTATTCAGCTCCGTCAAAAATGACCGTGGTTTTAATTAGTACTATGCCTTCGTTGAAAGGCCAGTAAAATGTTGGACGTTTGATGTCAGCGTTGTGTGATAGCAAAAAGAATGGTTCTGAATGTTGGCCAGTATAGTGTAAACCTGCTTTCTCCGGATTGCAGCTGTAGATGTAACATTTGGCTGATTACTGGACACTAGAGAATAATCTGCTGTTTTCACCAAACATTAACACTAGATTTATCTTGCGGAACGTGGCAGCTGCTTTTGTAGAAACAGATTAAAGAGGAATTCCACCAATTTTTCAAACTCTGAATAGTTCAGTTGTTGAGAGAAACAGTCATTCGGAGTGGTTTGATAGGAAATGTTAATTGTTGAGCAACCAGGGGTGCCCACTGCACAAATCTAGCCATTTTATGTTCTATTCTGATGGTGGTAAAATAGTAGTAAATCTGAAAATGTTTTGTTTGGGGACTGTTTTGCCTTAAAATACCTCTCTGCATGAATAAACCTCTCCACCATAAATAAATTGAAAGAAAAAGCCAGAACTTTTACATAAAACTATCGTAAAACAATCTCTCAGGCAGTTCAACAATTTCATGTAACAACTTTCTGTGAGGTAAGGTTTTGGAGTCATTAAACTCTTAAGTCTGGTTCCTGTCACCATCACTGTGAGCACTTCTGGCTCTGTAATTTTCTCTAGAACAAAATATTTTACATCAAATCACTCTGAATAATATTAACCATTTAATTATGTCAGAATTCTACAAAATCAGTGGAATCCCCATTTAAGCTTGAGCTGAGCTGTAATGTTTCTTTCACTGTGTACTTTAGCTCAAGACTAGATAAATTTAGTGTATGGAAAAGTTGCCATGATGTTTTATTCAGTGTTCTTACTTGTACATTTTTATAGGCTAGTTTACATATGACCCTGTTTCCAAAAAAGTTGTGACACAACATGCAAAATGTAAATAAAAGCAGAATGCAGTGATGTGAAAATCGTTTGACCCCATATTTAATTGAAAGCAGTACAAAGACAGAATAGGAAATGTTGAAACTGAAGTATTTTATTGTATTATTATTATTTTTTTAAATGAATTTGATGCCATCAACATGTTTCAAAAAGTTGGGACAGGAGCATGTTGACCGCTTTGTTGCATTATCTCAATTTTTAGCAACACACTAAGCGTTTGGGAACCTAGGAGACCAGTTGATGTAATGTTTTTTTTGTTTGTTTGTTTTTGTTTTCTTTGAGAAAAAAAATGTTGGGTACATTTTAGTACCAAAACAGACAATCCAACAAACGAACATACATACACAAAGATGCACAGTTAATTAAAATAAATTTAATTACACAAGGTCCCGTTCCAAACTTTAACAGATTATATGCTGCAGAGCAAACAACCATAGTATCAGCCTTTGCTCAATTCAGTCTGGCAGTGGCCTGCTCCAGTACCATGACATCCGTAAAATGAGCAAGAATGTAGATCTTAAATGCACGCTCGATTCTGTACGAAGTTTCAAAATTGCTTATTTCACAGCTGTCAGAGAAGCCATTACTGTTGTCTTTGGACTGGGATTCAAGTTAAGTAAATACTGAAATGTCTCCGAGCAGAAACCAGTGGAAAGTTTCATTTGGAATGCACAGTGAGGGGTTATATAAAATCTGTGTGCAAATTTATAGTGGACCATCTGATGAGCGAAATTTTTAGGTGTGAAATATATTCTTCCAAATTGAATCCCAATCCAGATCCGAGTCCTCTATGGCTAGGTCACGGGTCCAAATATTTTGTACCTCGAGCACATGTGGAGTGTTAGAAATAAGTTTGTTATAAATAACACATACCATGCCCCAGGATATGAGTGTAACTTGGAAGAAGATAAGCAAAGGATGCGTTTCTAGAGGAGTGTGCCCTGGGACCATCCTATGCTTGTAGCGATGCACGAAGCCTAAGGTATTAAAAAATAGGAGAAGCCTGGGATGGTGTGGGATTCTTTTATGTCAGTGAATTGCTTGAGGCCCCCCTCATCAAAAATATCTCCAAAAGTAAACATATTGGCCTTAGACCATAGTGTAAAGGTGAAGCTTTAAAGGGAAATGTCTTCACATTCTTGCTTGAGTGCTGCTCAACATTTTAGGGTCTTCTTTGTTGTATTTTTCATTTCATATTGCATGCAAATGTTTTTAATAGGTGACAGGTCTGGACAGCAGGCAGGCCATTTTAGCACCTGGACACTTTTACTACGAAGCAATGCTGTTGTAATCCATGCAGAATTTGGTTTGACATTGTCTTGTTGAAATAAACAAGGCCTTCCCTGAAAAAGAAGTCATCTGGATGGAACTGGCATTTAAGGATGCAGCGACAAACTGTGTTCACAGACAGTGGGACCTGAAGATCACACCAATCCAGTATTGGTTTTCAGCCTTGTCTCTTGCATACAGAGATTTCTCAGAATTCTCTGAAACTTTTAATGATATAATGTACTGTAGATGATGAAACCCCCAAGTTCTTTGCTATTTTATGTTGAGAAATGTCATTCTTGAACTGTTGCACTATTTGCTCATGCAGTCTTTCACAGAGTGGTGAGCTCCTCCTCATCTTTACTTCTGAAAGACTCAGCCTCTCTGAGATGCTCTTTTTTTGTGCCAATTGACATATTAGTTGTGAGATGTTTCACCAGGTGTTTTTTTTAAAAGACAGCTTAACCAGTCTTGTTGCCTCCTCCCAGCTTTTTTTGAAACGTGTCTCTGGCATTGAATTCAAAATGGGCATATTTTTCAAAAACAAATTTCAGTTTTAACATTTGATAAATTGTGCTGGCGTACCATTTTCTAGAGTTTAAATGATGTGCACATCATTACTTTCATTTTTATTTACATTTTACACAGCATCCCAACTTTTTTGGAAACGGTGGGATTTTATTTGTTTGTTTATTTATTTATTGATTTGATTTGTATATTGTGAAATCTAAAACAGGACAGAGGCTTTCTTTATATTCCTAAGCTTGACTCTGTAAATCTGCTTTGCATGTAACTGCACTTGGACTGTGTTTCTGAAGCTCTCTCCCATTTTTCTGGCACAGCATCAAAGACTGCAAGTGGCAGGAGAAGAACATTGTGGTGATGGATGATGTTGTCATCTCTCCACCTTACCGAGTGGATAACTGCAGAGGCAAAGAGGGCAGCGCTTTAGCCCACGTACGCAAAATAGTAAGTTCAGCTCAGCATGTAATTGGTCAATTATGGGACAGTGTCATTTCCCTTTATTCCTTTCCTCCCTTGGGTCAAGGGAGGAAAGGAATAAATCGCAAAAATTTAAGCTGACTGCAGTTATTTTGTCTTGTTAGCTTTATGGAGGATATGTTAGTTTCTTTAGTTTTAGAGCTATGAGGCTAATGCAGCTAGCAAGTAATGGCAGCTTATACCCCACCTGTTAACAGCGTGCAAACTACATTCCTAAATCACACAGTGCCTCAGTCACACACTGCCTCAGACTGTCAAGGTTTTAGGAAATCTCAAACAGACTTGTGTATGATGCTATGTGTATCTAGGTGGAGATGGCAAAAATTGATATCACTGTACAGTCAAAATTTCTGATGGTTCTGTGTGTTAAAATAATAACAAAACTGAACAAGATATAGATAAAAGTATGTCTGTATTGCTTTCTGGCAAAAATGGTGCTAAATGTTGAGTCACATCTGTTTCTACAAAGGTCAGGTTGCCTTTGTTTGGCAACTTTCTGTTCAGACTTTGTGTTCCACCTTAAATGGTGCAGCAGTTGCGTTCTGGGACCGATACAGGCGCTTGAAAGTAATTGAACAAGCTTTAGTTTTTCTTGAGTCATTTGTCTCATACTTGTCCCATATACTCACTGTTCCAACTCTCATACGCTGCTGGAGTTCGGAAAATATTATGGTCACTCACGCGGTTGGTACCAGCTGGTCTACAGCTTGTTTCGCAGACAAGTCTGGGAGCCTGTGATCCCGGATAACCAGGTATACTGCTCTAAATTGTATGTGAGGTTTCTTCAGTAGTAGGTGTGCCACTACTACTGTGATCTATGCAAATGGATAAAAGTACTCATCATAGCGGAAGTGCTCATCTTCAAGCCTGATTTTTGATTTTAATTTTTTTTTTTTTATTTCTTCTTCTTCTTATCATTTATTATTATTATTTATTATTATTATTATTATTACTATTATTATTATCATTTATTTTTATTTATTATTATTATTTTTTAAGACAAGTCTGTCAGAAGAAGAAATTTGTATGAGTATGAGTAAATGAGCATGTTATCGGCCCGATTCCAGTAGCGGTATCAATGCATCCCTAGTCAGAAACCATAAGCAAGTCTGTTTTGGTGGTCTCCAAGCTTCCATTACTTGTTATCTAGCAGCCTTAATAAAATGGTTCACTAATAGTTCTTTAGTAAAAGCAATGGTTTATGATTTTCTTTATATATATATTCCACTAGGCTTCCACTACTGTTACAAGTCATAGTCTTTTCTAGTACTGTATAGAACCCTTTTTGCTATGACTGTACATTAGCTCCAGCGTAAAACTAAAGCAAACACAAGGCGACAATTGTGTAAATGAGATTTTTCGCCCAGCTATGGCTTTAAGGTTAAGCCATTGTTTAAAGGTGTCTGCCTCCTCTGCAGGTTGAGAAACACTTCCGCGACGTGGAGAACCAGAAGTCCGTGCAGCGGTCACAAGCACAGCAAACACAGAAGGACTCGGCCTTGTCAGCGTGAGCGCGACTTCCGTGCAGAGTGCTATGCCGGCACTTTAAGTTTTTGGGTTTCCTTTTATTTCGGAGTTTTATTTTCAATCAACCGACCGAGGCTGAGGTAGCTGCGGCCTGCGTTGTGAGTGGAGCCGTCCTAGACGTCTGGAGAAAAAAATAAAGTATAAAAACAAAAAGAGAGGGCAAAATATGAGCCCTTGAATTAGTTTTTCAGAAGATTTAATTTTATGACAGAACATCTTGACCACCCTTCCATTCAGCCCTCCCATCAAATACATGTGTGCCCCTTTCCCACCCATATTCTCTCTCTCCAACTGCTAATCCATGCAAACACATTCCATGTTAGCCAAGAAAAATCAGAGGCCTGAAAAATATCAGGTTGTTTTTCATAAGCTCCTATACCTCCTCATACTCCCCCCCCCCAGAACAAAATGTGACTTGAAAGGTACTGGAGAAAAAAGGACTTAAGTTATAAAAGATTCTGATTCAATAATTAAATCAGTCTGGGTGAAAATAGCGTGGTTTATTTTTCTAACAGTTGACTGAAATGAAGCGAGTGCTAAATGTTTGTGAGACAGGCGGTGAAGTTGCACTTGGCAGATGACAACCCTTCAGACAGCAGCTCCTTGTCTGTGACCTAACATCAGGTGCTGGACACAAGTTGGTCTTGTCATCTCAAAAAAAAAATAAATAAAAAGAAACATTCTCAGAAGCATCATAGCTCATTTCTACCCAGCTTGCTTTGTACCTTTTTTCATAGCACCATCCAGCTATTCTGTTTTTTTTCTATTGGCATTTTCACTGTCATTTTTTAGACGAAGGAGCAAAACTCTTGATTATTTTACTGTTTGTACGCCTTCTGTTTACATGGCCAGTGAGATCTTGGCATATCCTCTCTATGTGAAACTCCAGACTGGCAGTTGTTATAGTTTGGGGAGAGATGGAGATTCAAAAGGAGCAAAAATCCTGCATGTGGCAGTTGAACTTTGTCATAACTGTTTCATGAAACCGTGTTGAATACCTCTTCCACCGTAACAGGACCTCTTTTTGTTATAACACATCATTCTGTGACTTTTTTTTTTGTTTTGTTTTTTTTTTTAATGCTTCCCTCTACTGTGCATTCCGCCATGTTTCAGTGACAGCAGCTTTTGTCAGTTCATATCTCGCATGCTTTCAGGCTTTCAGTTTTCGGGATGGGACAGATCTTTTTTTTCCTGATTGAAACTCTTTGTAATTTTTTTTCTGAAAAAGAAAATGTGTTTAAGAGATATCTTGCCATGTTAGAGACTGAGATGGGGGGGAAAGGTGGCAGGTGGTCTAAAGCCAGGCTCCTCCCTCTCCCAGCCTCGTGGAAACTCGTAGCCTGATGGAGGCTCTGCCAGTGGCGCCAAGCTGTGACGGCCATTCGCGTTACATAGCAGTTCACATTTACTCTGTGTCAACGAAGTTGCCGTTGCTTAGGACTCTTTCCCAGTATTTTATTTTTTATTTTTAAATAGTTAACATGGAAATAAAAAAAAAAGAAAAATCACATGGAGTCTTGTCTTTGTAGTATACTTTAACTTTCATGTAGTGTGGTCAAAAGTTTCTCATTGTGAAGACATTGTCAGCAAACATTGTCACCAAAACTGCTTCTCTTAAAGGGACCCTGACCAAAATGAAAAATACACCCATTGCTGCATCTGTTGTAAACAGACTGTTTATATATAACACTGTCCACTCTAGTAGACACTACTACCTTGTTGGTCCACCTTGTAGATGTAAAGTCAGAGACAGTAGCTCATCTGTTGCTGCACAGTTTTGTTGGTCATCCTCTAGACCTTCATCAGTGCTCACAGGACGCTGCTGGCTGGATATTTTTGGTTTATGGACTATTCTCAGTCCAGCAGTGATACTGAGGCGTTTAAAAACTATCTGATCCACTCGTAACAGCACAACGTCAGCGTCACTGTAGTGCTGAGAATGATCCACCAACCAAATAATACCTGCTGTATTGTTGTCCTGTTGGGGTCCTGACCATTAACTAATAGGGTAAAGGGAGCTAACAAAGTATGCAGAGAACAGATGAACTACAGTCTGTAATTGTAGAACCACAAAGTGCTCCTGTGTGGACAAAATGGACAATGAATGTAGAAACAAGGTTTTAATGTTATGGCTGATCAGGTTGTTAATTAAAAATGCAAAATCATGACTTCTATCAAACCAATGAGGCTGAGAGATGCTGCTCCACACCATATTATATAAACAAAATTAAAGGCTAGTTTTAGGCTGGAAAACAGTTAGCGTTCCAAAAAGCGTTTCTGGGTTTTAAACGCCCCTACACGACCAGAAATATTACATGACTGAATCATCAGTGAATTCACCAGAGATATTTACTGTAAACGTATTTACCTCTTAGCTCAATAACCAGGATTCTGACTGCTTCAGTTAACTGTGGTTCTCCACATGAGGGTGTCAATTAATGATGTACATAAACGCATCACTGCCCCATAACATTCAAACCTAGATGTGCTACCTGAATTCTGTTTATCAGGTTTTATCATCAGTTGGAAACAGCTGCATAACTACTGGAGAATACTGCATTAGCAACTTATTAGTTTGTAAAAGTGATTTTGCTCTTTTTCTATGCCTCATGAAAGGCTATGGGAGATTAATTTTGCACTTTTGAAGCACAAATTGCACAAGAAAAATACCAAAAACATAGAAAATGTTATTTTGAGCACTATTAGATTTGTGCTCCTGTTGAAGCCACAATGGTATGAGAATAGTTGAGTGACTGAGGGTGTCTCTCTCTCTCTCTCTCTCTCTCTCTCTCTCTCTCTCTCTCTCTCTCTCCTCTGTCATTACTCCTATTGACTCACTGAATGATTGATAGGCTAATACCACAGAGTATATTTCCATTGTTCAAGCAGAAACGGGAATCTCTCGGTGGACACATTTTACTGCATTATTTAAATGGCCATGGCCTCGTGTTTCAGCCCCCCTACTCTTACTGGAGCAGCTCCGCTGGTTAGATGTCTCCAGTTCACAATGAAGATTAGACAGGAGGGTTTAATAATATGGTGGCACGAAGAGCATGTGGCAGATCACATTCACCTCCTTTACTAACAGCAGCAACTGAAATTGAGTTAAGAGGCCGAGGTACGCGCTGCTGCAATTGTGAGGAAAAGTTTGTGAATCCGTATTGGAATCACTGAAACCTAAAACTTTCATTAAATAAATACCTTTTCTCAAATCTGTGTGTGCCACAATTGTTGGCACACCTTCATTTAATACTTTGTGTAGCCTTCTTTTGCAACAATAACAGCTCTGAGTCTCCTGTAATGTGTAATGAGACTGGAGAACACATAGCAAAGGATCTCAGACCATTCCTCCATTCCTCCCACAGGTTTTTTTATGGGGTTTAGGTCAGGGCACTGGGGTGGCCATGGCAGAACATTGATTCTGTGGTCAGTGAACATTCTTGTGTTGATTTTAAGGCGTGCTGTGGATCATTGTCCTGCTGGAAGATCCAAACTATGGCCCAGTTTAAGCTTCCTGGCTGAGGCAGTCAGGTTTTAATTTAACGTCTGCTGGTACTTGATGGAGTCCATGATACCATGTATCCTTTGGAAGAAGAACAGCCTCACGACATCACAGATCCACCACCATACTTCACATGCATGGCTATCTTTGTGTCCACGCCAAACTCTGCTCTGGTGTTTGTTGCCAAAAACCTCTACTTTGGTCTCATCTGACCATAAAACACAAACCCACTGAAAGCTCCAGTAATGTTTGGCAAACGGTAGGAGCTTGAGTTTGCTGGACCTTGACCGCAGAGACTTTCTTTTGGCTACTCCCCCCAAACAACTTGTGGTTATATAGGTGGTGTCTGATTGTGGTTTGGGAGATGTTCTGACCGCAAGACCTAATGTATTAAGTTCCCCATCTGTGATCCTTTGAGATTCTTTATCCACTCGAACCGTCCTCCTCACTGTGTTTGAGGTCAGTGAAGACAGACATCCCCTTTCAAGTTCTTAACATCCCCACTTGTTTGAAGCTACTTAATTTTTGCGCTGATAGTGGAAATGTGGGCATTTTCAACTGTTTAGCTATTTTCTTGTAGCCATTTCCTGATTTGAGCAGCTGAACAGCCTTTTGTTGCACATCACTGCTGCTTTCTCTGGTCTTTTTTTATAGTGTTTAATGACTGAGGCCTGTGTGTTACCTCATATTTATACCCCAGTGAAACAAGAAGTCATGGCTGACCAAGTGTTCCTAATCTCTCAAGTGAACTTAAAAACATAAAATATGAATGGGAATGCAGTTTTACTTTTCACCCTAGGAAAAGAATTTATAGTGGTGCCAACAATTGTGGCACACAAATTTGAAAAAAAAAACACCATTTATTTTATGATTCAGGATTTTCCTGAAGGTCCAAAAGGACAAGCTATAAAGAATGTCTTTACAGCCTGTTTTGCTCATGTTTACCAGGGGTGCCAATATTTTGTGGCTGCGTATGGTAGTTGGTGTATATATGCAAATAAATACACAGACACAAGGTGTGTGTGTGTATATATATTACAAATAAACAGTAATAGAGCATTGCAGAAGTGTGTCTAGAGGAGGCAATAACTAATTTTCACTTAGAAAATAATCAAAATCCCTTTTTTTATACCGGGCCAGCATCCATCAGCCTCACTGTTATGTATTCTTTTTTGTTTTCGTCCATCAATATTCACTACAATACCCAGCATGCATTCCTCCTGATTGCTGGCATAGACCACTGATGTCCAGGCTAATAAAGCACGTGTAGTTTTTTTTTTTAATTCCTCCCATCTTCAAGATACATCATCAGGACGAGGTTTCGAACCGGAAACTCTTACAGCACCGTGTTCGAAAGTGAGCAGGCCTGTTTACATGAAAGGTAGAGATGGTTATATTTGTGATTCTGTGCGGAGCGTCTCTTTAATAAAGAGTGCAGCTCTCACGGACCTGCAGACGCGTTTAGAAACATGTCGAGGATGAATTCTATAAAAATATGACGAAAGCTTTTATTGTGACAGCTGGAGATTTACTTACAAAGTCAAAAATGGAAACTCATTTGGACGAGATTAGTGTGATACAGACACAGAAGAGTGAGCACTGTGGGGAAAACAACAATCCGAGAGAGAGAGAGAGAGGGAGGGAGGAAAAGGGGAGAGAGAGAGATGGAAGAAGAGGGGAGGAGAGAAGGAAGAGGGGTGAGAGAGAGAGAGAGGGAGGAAGAGGGAAGAGAGAACAGTTTGGATGAGGGGAGTAAATGTGGACTCAGGAGGAAAAGCAGCGTCGTTAGGATGTATCAGTCATTCAGAGAAAACGGGTCGATGCTGTGAATCTGCTCAGGAGGGAGAAGTGAAGACGCTGCGGACAGAGCGCGCGCTGCCGTGGTGAGTCCTGCACGACTGACCTGTTTTAAGCTGCATGCAACTCAGTATCCTCTCCTCAGTCCACACTTTAAAACAACAGTGTTTTGTTATGAAACCTTTTCTGTGTTGCGCACTAAATAACGAGCAAATTATTCTTTCTGTTTACTGGGAAGTGTAGAATATTCAGTGTGATATCTGGACTTCGGCGCGTGAAATGTGAGAGTTTAAAAATGAACACAGTTTTTATCACCAACGCAAGACACAAAACAAGCTCCGATCTTTTCCCGTGTTTACTGTATGAACAATCGTATGTAAAGGTTTCTGAACTCCTGGAACCACCAGTGGCGTCTAAAATATTAAATCATTTTTATTTCATAATAATAAACTAATAGCTTTTTTAATGCAAAGCATTTACACCGATTTTCATTACTATGACTAAAATGAACAAGTGGTTTAAACAAGCGGAGTCACTGATTAGAAAGAACAGAAAACATGATAAGCTATATTACAATATTTTTAATGTAATATACATATTACATACTTTTTTATATGCTAGTCTAGTGTCCTAGACTGAAATAATGCTCCTGAAACACAGCCTTTAGTTTTGGTCTGTTATCCTGATCATAATAAAAAATTAATTTTTCAAAATTGCACAGTTTTTATGTACCTAATTCCAATGTTCAGTATAGTGGACAGTGAAATCCACTGAGATCACTAAAAAACAATATTATCTCCAAATTTATAGAACATCATCTACTATCACTCATAAATAAAGATAAGACTCTGCTTCCAAGAAAATAAACAAAAGTCTTGAATGATTGCATTTTAATGTTATACTCAAAGCATGATCTGCTACACTGAGTAATGTCCAGATGTCCAGATCACTGGACATTAAACTTTATCTGAAAATTTGTGTATGTAGAATTAAATATCTACTATTTTCTTTGTAACCTTTTACAAGAGGGACCTTCTAGAGTGACATACATACAAAAAATTGTATAAAATAAGTACAGGATCATTCAGAAACAGTGTTTGATTTGATCTTTAAGGTGATGAGTGTCTGTTTCGCCAGCTGCCCCGTTTGTTTTTGTTTATGACGAAGTAAAAGAGAAAGAAAACATGAAATCTATTAAATGATAAAAGACTGAGTTCTGTAGAAACACATAAAACTGAGTATGGTGACATTCCTGCTTCTGTAGAGCTACCTAAAATGTCCAGCATACTGGATGCCAAACAAAGAGTGCTAAAGCTTTTTATTTAATCAGCACAATTTCCCTCCCCAAACACTGAATAAAGTCACTGTAAATGAAGCTAATGAAAGATATGCATTTGAAATGCATGTTTGAAGCCAGAACCCTGTTATTCCATATTTGTGTGAATAGTTAACAATAGAGTCCAACTTAAAGTGGAATTTCACCCTTTTTAATTCTGCGTAATTCAGTGATTGAGATGTAAACAGAGTCATTCAGAGTGTTTTCATGTCAAACAGTACATTGTAGAGAAACGTGGCAGTCTTAGATTTTCTTTACGGTGGTGGTGATAGGAACAAGAGCTCCCAATGTACATTATACAACACAAATAGCCACTTTACTGTTACTGTTACACTTTACTTTTTACTGTCCAAATTAACCAGCGAACATTCTTATGTTTTATATGTCATGTTGGTGATGCTAAAACAGTGTTAAACCATAAAAAAATTATTTGGGGACTATTATTTGCCTTACAGAATCCTGCATGTTCCTCCCTCCCATGAATGGTTTTCAAAACATATTTTTAAAGATATCCAAAACTTATCCATAATATCCAAAAACGTATCTCAAAACTTTCATCAAACAATGCCAAGCAGCATATTCATAACCTTTATATGTACTTTCTGTGATGTAGCTTTTAGATACATTAAACTCTTCAGATGTCTGGTCTCTATCACCACCACTGTTAACAATTCTGATTCAATACGTTTCTCTAGAAAGGAGCATTTCACATCAAACCACTCTGAACTCTGTTCACACTTTATCCCTTTAATGTAGATGTAATGTCTTCTAAGGCACCTCTACGATATTGGCTATGTAGAAGTGTGTTTCTGCCATTTAAAAACGTTTCAGTGGAATTATGAGAGAATTTCTTATGATTATGAAAGGTTAGGATTGCAGATAGTAAGCCATAATAAGACAGCAGTTCATCAATGAGATTGTATCTTGTAGTATCTCTGGTATCCATGAGTCAGTCATAATAACAAGATAGAAGGTGATAGTTATGAGACAGTATCTCCTAATTGGCATACTGAAACTTCATTATCAGATATTAAGTAATATTTAAGAGACACTAAATCAAAATTATGAGACATTAAGTCATAATGAGAAAATTTGCTGTTTTTATAACTTGCACATTTTTTTTCAAATGGCAGAAATGGCCTTCCATGTGGCTACAAAACACCAATAGTAATCATTTTCATATTTCTCTTTAGACATTTCAGTGGAGAGCAAGTGTTGGCTGAGCAGAATCTGACCTTTGCTGTGTGTGGACAGCATGTTGGTGGTTTCCACATTGCTCTTGCTGGCTGTATCTCCTGGACGGGGATCCAGACCTTGTGCTTATCTCTGTCAGTGTTTTGAGCACTCGGACCTGGTGGACTGCCGCTCGCGGGGTTTGGTCAGCGTGCCCCACGGCCTCCCTCATGGGACATGGCTTTTGGACCTGGGAGGAAACACGCTAGCAGAGATCAGGGCCCGCGCCTTTGCTGGACTCTGGTCACTGCGCGTTCTCGTGCTGGCAGACAACAGCATCCAGGAACTGAAGACACAGGTCAGTGAGTTCTGCTGTACTTTGGAGAGATGGAGGTTTTAGTTTGTCCATACGTGGAAGTTTAATTAACTTTATACCTATAAAATGACCATGTCCATTAGAGTTTTTGGAGTGGAAGGCAATAGGAAATAAAGGAAATAATTCAACGTTGAGCTTCTGACTTTTGGAAAGCAAACATATTATGCTTTTTAAACGTGGTGCGCCTCATTTTTCTTGTGAAAGGATCAGCCAATAGGAACAAAGATCATTCACATATATCAGTCTCATAGAAACCGTACCAAAACAGCCTGTTTAATTCTAACAGGTAAGAGTCAAAGATATAATGAGAGATTGAAAAATGAATTCTGACTGCTACTGTTAAGGTATTATGCAGGTACATTCTTCATTTATCAGGGTACAAACAGTGTAAATTTACCCTCTAACAGTGATTTTAAGGTCCAATTGTGAACTTTACTTAAAGTTTTCTCAGTGGAAAAGTACGTGTTTGTACCTTTTCATAACCTAATGTTTTAAAACAGAACAGCAAAGTAAAAAGTCTGGAGGCAAGACGGGGTGTGTGGAGTCAGTACAACTTAGAAAATATAATTTCAGTGGATTATGGTACAATTATGTTCCCTGACTAAAAGTACTGAGATGTACCCCTGAGGGTACCACCCCAGTGACAAGAGGGGCACTGCTCCAGTGACAGTTTCATACTGTTTTTTCTGAGAGTGTACATAAAACCATGCAAGCATATTATAAGTGGACTGAAAGGAAAAAAATAAAATACCTAAAAAAGTTAGTTATTATTGATGTGCTCTCTCTGTGCCTCCCTCAGGCCTTCAACTCACTGTCCTATCTGGAAAAGCTCGACATGAGCCGTAACAACCTCAGCCGTCTCCCTGCAGACTTTTCTGACAGTCTCTCCTCCCTGAAGGAGCTGCGACTGGAACACAATGCATTGGAGATGCTGGAGCCGCTGTGCCTGGAGCGTCTGGAGAGCCTGGAAAAGCTGGACCTTAGCCACAACCGCATCAGCGTCCTGCGGCCCGGGGCCTTCCGCGGCCTGTCCCGCCTGCGGCACCTCTACCTGCAGGGAAACCGACTGACTGCTGTGTTGGATGGCGCCTTCTCTTCACTGCCCAGCCTGGAGATGCTGCTGCTGGGCGGCAACAACATAACACACATTGAGGCGAATGCGCTGGCGGCTCTCCGCAGTCTGGCCCTGCTGGGTCTGGAGAGGAACCAGCTGGAGCAGTTGAAGTTCCGGACTTTCCTGAACCTGCACACTGCCGGAACACACCTGCAGCTGGCTGGCAACCCGTGGCACTGCGACTGCGAGCTGCACCGGGTCTTCAGCAAGCTGCTGAGCGTCCGCCATCTGCATGTGGACGACTACCATAATGTGACCTGCCGGCAGCCTTGGCAGCTGGCTGGGGCCTCGCTGGCTTGGGTGGACAGCCAGCTGTGTGTGGCCGAGACGGTCACTGTGTTGGTCATCACTGGAACGGTGCTAGTCACCGTGTTCGGAGCGCTTATAGTGGCCGAACGCAACCGCAAGAAGAAGAAGCACAGCAAACACTGGGAACAGGGGGAGACAGGCACATAGAAAAAGATTCCAAATCTACTGCACAGCTCTTTACAGTTTTTACAAACTTTTGCAGTTTTCCAGTTAAATTTTCCTTCTAAATGTAGTCAAATAGCCAAGATATGCTCCACTGGTCCACTGATGTACTTGGTCTGACTTGTTTTTGTTGATGGCTGAAGGGCTTCAAATTTGTCTGTGTGTGAATAAGAGTGAGGATTTTCCATCTGTGATGATTTCCATCTGAACACCTCTTTGCACTATCCCACACCGAACAGGTGGTCTTAGGCAGCACAGAAGAGGGTTTAAAATATAATGCATTGTATATAATATAATTTCCAAGTGATGCTTGAATCCAGTGCACTTTCATTCCGGACTGCAGACGACTCCTGAGTTACTTTGTAAAAGAAGTAAAAATATATTTTAACCTTCATTTATGTTAATGACAAAATTTTATAATTCTGAGTAATTTTCACAGAAAGTAAAATGAGTTTAAATAAATGTTATTAAGTGATATGACCGTGATGATCTGAATGACATCTCTTTGTTAATGTTGGTTTGTATCTGCATGCCGTGGAACAGGCGCTGGATTTTGAGGATCTGTGCATGGATGGACTTTTTCAACTAGATGACCATGCTAAATCAAAGGTATCAGGTAACCGTGAGCTTTGGGGCAGCTTTTCAACTTAAAAATCCTACTGAGTCAAGCTGTTCTCCTTGGGGACAGTCAAATTATCAAGGTTTTTTTTAACCACTGTGCACCACACTGCTTCAAAGAGAGGGGTGATAAGAGAGATCATCACCACTGTAGAAACATTTCTGCTGGTTCTCTTCTTTCATGTCGTGGAAGATACCTGCCAGATTTTATTTGCTATTTGAAAATTGATTAAGTGTGTGTTCCTTTATCCTCCCAGCAGGCCCCCTCCTCTAAGCTGCTTATCGCATCCCTTCTACTCCACCTTTGGCACCATTAACCTCACAAACACACTCCATCTCCTGAGCTGCGGTGTCCCAGTGTGACCGGCAAGAGCTTTTCATCGACATCCCAGACAGCTTCAGAGCCCAGAGTCCATGGATCATGTGCTGCTACTGCCATAGGATTACTCCTCACTTAGCAGAGCTCTTTTCTCACTCATCCTGATTAAAACCTCAGGCCCAATTTGATCAAAGTGATGCGCGAGTGGGAAAGTATATGCCACTGTGGCTCTGTGCAGGATCTGTTAGAGAGCTTCTTGAAGCTAGCTGGGATTCAGAGATTACTGAAAAACTTGAACCACTTTAAGCTAGCAAAAAAAGATAACCTGAACCTAACAAGACAATGAAGATAACTGAAAAACTTGTGCTACTTGAAGCTAGCAAAACAATAGTAGCTAGCAAAACTGTAAACACAGTTTCAGGCTAGCAAAACGTGAAGCTAGCAACACAACAAAGATAACAGAATTACATGTGCTATTTGAAGTTAGCAAAACAGTAGCTTAAGCTAGCAAAAAATAGTTGAAGTAAAAACTCTTTCAAACAATTCTTTAAGCAAAAAAAGCTTGAATCTAGCAAAACAATAAAGACATTGGAAAAACTGCCTGAAAGTAGCAAAAAGTAGCTTAAAACTAGCAAACAATTGAAGTTCAAACCACTTCAGGATACTTAAACAAAAGTTTGAAGCTAGCAAAACTATAAAGATGATGGAAACATGTGCATTACTTGACAATAGCAAAACAGTAGCTTGAAGCTACAAATTTGACCAAATGAAGTTTCATTTCATTTTAGTTTTCTAATTACTCCAAAAATGTTAAGCTTGAACTTTCTGACAAAAAAAAATATTTTCTTGGCCTACAAAGTATCTGTGAGGTTTCCGTGGTGTGATTTGTTCACATGAGAGCGCAGTAACGCTGAAGTGAGTGGTGAGTGTGTTGGGTCATAACATGTCCACAGCACCATATGGAGTCTCACCGCATTCTCATCAGATTACTGTGCTGATTAAAACATGCAGAGGAGAAAGCCGTCCCTTGAGAGGAATAATAGCAGCAAGGCTTAAATGCTTAACCTGAGCCTGGTTTTTCCCACCCAGGATTGATTCTCATTGACCCCAGAGCAGTGCTGCTGAAGGGATGTGTGGGATGTGTACGGTGAAACTGGAATTGGTGACCATGTGGTACTGATCATAGGTCAGAAAATGGGTCGATGACTGTCTACATCATGGGAATAGAATTCAGCTTTTTTTTTTTTGACTGACAAGCCCTGAGCTCTCATTGATCTTAATTTGTCTAAAAATAAAGTTACAAATGAGCAAAAACAGTGTAAGTCTTTTCTTTATGTAGATACACTTTTTACAATGCTAAAGGAAATAGCGAGTGCAGGTCATTGGTTCAGTTTTGGGTGACTGTTGACTGTATGATAGGAAAAATAAAGTATATAAAAAGTTGTCGTGTACTAAAATTTTGGTGAAAAAACAAATTCATACAACTTACCCCGAATCTGCTCAATCAGTCTAGACATGTTTGTCTAAAGCACTGGAGATATTAAACTAATATAGCTAACAAATAATGCAAGCTGTATCCACCAATTAGCTTTGTAAAACTGCATGTGTAAGTAATCACACGCTCGCTCCCACCATGTTGACTTCTTAAGTAATCTTGTGTTGAATGATTATATTTGGGGGAAAAAGTGTACATTTGTTTTTTGGTTAAATCATTGTTGTAAGCTCTCTCTGCAAGCTCCTTAGTTGCTATTCCACCAGCAGAATGGAAATAACCTCAGATAGATTTGATTAATATAATCAAATAAAATGAGATTAACTGGTACATTGTTGGTTCGCTGTGTGTGAAATGTGACTCCGTGTTGAGCTGCTAGTGAGCAATGAGGAGTAAAAGGGGAGGAGTGAGAACCCCCTGCTTTGAAAACAATTCACACTTCTCCATAAAGACAAAATGGTCGGTACAACTGCAGCTTTCTTGATATTAAACAATCCTTTCTAATTGCCACAATAAATAGCATATAAAGACAATAAAGCGCTGTAAATATTGACTCAGTACCCAGTTCACTTGGAATAGAATACGTCCATGTAAACACCTTAATTTAAATAGACTAGTCTGATTGAGGCCATTCGGGATACAATTTCTATCCAATTGAATGAGGTGGTTAATCCTGTAAATAATCAGTTAAATAGAAGAATAATAACCATGTAAACGTCTGTATCCGATTACATTCCCAATCGGAAAGTGTAAGTACATTCTGGGCATGTGTGTCACATCATAGCGCAAGTTTAACCTTCAACATGGCAGGAGCAGATTTCTTGTAGTGTGCATGTAAAGCTCAGATTGTTGACTAGAGTGAGATATAAACACCTCAGTCTTAATCTATAATTTGGAATGTATTCAGTCGGATTGGCAAAAATCTTGCATGTAAACACAGCCACTGTTGTCGAAGAAGAAAATATAATTAGCATTTTATGGCTACTGTGACAAAGAGTTAAACGTCCTAGAAACACAGCTGTCCATATTCCAGTCTTGTTCACTGTGGCTGCAACGTTCAAATCCAGTAACTGATTAATGACTGTATAAAACTGAGATTCTGAATGTATAGAGAACCTGAGATGACACTGTATTCTCATAACCCCTTGTTATTTAACCAAAAGCAAAGAAAAGGTTCAGTGGGATGAGATCAACACAACGTCATTCTTAAATACTTTATATAAGACTGACCTGGACACTGGATTAAAAACTAAATTACAGAGGCCGCTTTTAATTGCATTTTTGTCATTAAATTCCTTAGTCTCCATTGAAAACATAACTTGTCCACCTGCTAATCTGCATTTTGCAGAGGTGGAGGGAGATAATACGCTGTGTTGCATCACTGCCAGGAAGGTTGCGCACAGTCTGTGCATAGAAAAAGTCTTCTGAAGGGAAGAGAGTCTAAATGATCGCGATTATTTAAGCCAGCATCAGACTTTGGTTACTAAATGTGTACAGGTGTGGTTATACAACATGATAGAAACATACAACCAGGCAAATACTGTTATTTCTAAATGTGTAAGTATTGATGTTTTGTTAAAGGGAAGCAAATTAATGCATGGATTAAGAAAATGATTGTTCCTACTAAATATAAAGCATCAAATTTTCTATTTCCAAGTGATCTCATGATTGGGGTGCCATTTTTATCCCACTGATATTAAATTTACAAATTAAATGTGAAGTAAAGATATAACACATTTTAAGCAAACATAAAGTGTCCTTCACAACAACATATATATGCATGTTTCAGATAAATAACCTTAATAACACTAATAAACCCTATGTATGACTTCAAAAACAGCATTTTTGGCTGTTCCAGTCCACCGTAACTGCATTTTACCTTGACATTTTAGTAAATAAAATACTTTCAAAATCTTATTTTCTTATTTTTTTTCCCTTTCCATGAAAAATGTACATTTATTGCGCCCCACAACATTGACTCAACCCTGTTACCTGAACACGTTTAGTCCAAAGAAATATCTGCAATATTTTGCAAGTCACATGTTCAACAGGAAGATGATTATCCAAATTTCCTGAAGATCATAGGAAGATGAAAAGTTCTCTCATTCTTATGTTGTTATTTTCAGTGATATTGGGATACCGACTGACAAGGCCACTTTGAATGTTCAACCTTGTTACCCAAATTACGGACTGAAAGTAAATTACTCTTTTTTTTAAATTAATCATTAGACTGTCCTTATATAAAGGCATCATGCCATTAGCATAGTTGTTGCTAATTTGCTAATTTTATGCTAAAAAAACCCTCAACCCTGTTTCTCGTTTAAGCCATTTTCAGCTTTTGATGGCTTAAACGCTTTTTTCGGCTATTGAGATATTATCTGAAATGTAACTAATGCTGCCTCATACAGCATTCTGAGGCGGGAATTCACTCGGTCATGTCCAAATCGAATGTTTGTATAAAACGCTGCCTGCTGAGGTTCCTCCGTTTGGCCATTTTTGGAAGGCAGCATAGATGTGTCCTTCGCTGCCTTACATATCCCATAATCCCGTGTGTTAGCACTTGTGCGGTTAAGGGAAAAATACTAAAGTTCTAGTATTTTGCTTTGTTATTTTAGAACAAGAACAGCAGCTCTTTATTTATCGAGTGCCTGTTTGCTACTAGCTAAATTAAGATAAGGTAAGCTAATGTTTGGGCACCCTGCCTGAAAAAAAAAAACAGCAAAATCAGTATGTTGTGTTTTGGATGCTGGTATGTGGGAGCAATGGATGTTAATATGCTGGTCACCAGTAAAACCAGCAAATGTTGTGTTTTGGATGCCAGAATGATGTCCATGCTGAGTGACCAGCTAAACCAGCACCAGACCGCATAAACCATCTTACGCTAGCATGGAATTCATGCATATCTGTGCTGTTTTAGCTGTTAGCTTATCCAATAAACTCAGTGAAACCACTATGTAATTTATGTAGAATGCCACATTTTGGTTATAAACAGTTCAGTGTGTTAGCTTTGTAGCTTCCTACCAGCTAATACTAACATAGCTAAATACTAGTTACCGTATCTTATCATATCAATTCTAGCCAATTTTTACATATTAACATTTTTACTGAAATTCTACCCCCACAAAGCATCTTTAATTGCCACATCACACTTAATTCTTTCTTAATACGTGAATAAACCCTGTTTGATTCCTCTTTAAGATCTATCTTAATACAGTTTGGAACAGCTCTTAGCGGGAGTGTAGCCAGGGCTGTATCATGGTGAAAGTTCACACAAGGCCAGCCTGTTTGTCTTTCTATTTCATGTCTTCCTTTTAAGACTGCTCCCGTTTTACGTAATCCTAATGTGCAAAACAGCAGATTACATAGAGCACTGTGTGGCCTATTTTGCAGCAACAGATCAAACAAGGATTTCAGACTTGTGTGTGCAAAATGATTCCTCAGCCTGTCATGTGAAATGGAAATATTACACTCCTCCATTTACCCACTAAAACACATCACAGCAGGACTAGCGAAAGATTTCACACTTTGTATACAGTACAGTAGATTGCACTTACCAAGGATTTGCAGCTTCAGATGTGTTTCCTTTGGTTTACTGAACCATTGAAGTGAAAAGAAATAGCAAAATTTATGCATCTCTAAATTCCTTCAGCTCTGTCCACAGGCACATTGGGTCACTGGCAACACTCCTCAAATCTCATTCCGAAGCTAGAAAAATACTGAAACTGCATATTTCAAATCCAAATGTCAATTCAATTAAGTCACTCTGTACAGTATTAAAAGTGTATGGTAATGCAACTGAAATTAATTAGTGATAATTTTAATGCATTCACACACAATTCCTGATTTATTATTATTATTATTACTACTATTTAAAATCGCTTTAAACATTTTAAACATGAACTTTCTTTTCAAGTTAGTCACTGTGACATCTGACTGATCACGTAAACGCTGTTTATTTTATTGACAATGCATTGATGTTTCAGTGAGGGCTAGTTCGATTCAGTGAATCGATTCTTTCCAACTGTGTGCTGCAATGAATCAAATGTCTGATTCAGTGATTCAAGTTCACCCCTTGATTCTGATATACAGTAATGTTTGATTTAGGAAGTGAGTCTCATATGTAGTACTTCTACTCACAAATATACACACAAACAACAGGAAGCATAAGCCAGCTATGGATTGCAATGAGCTATTTTATGTTGTGATTGTAAGAGGTCAACGAGGTCATTAAAGATTAATATTTAAATTTTATTAGAAGTTTTTAGCCTATAACAAGGACATGAGCATCACATAGACATTACAAAAACGTTACGTTCAGTTCCACTCATGAATCGGATCAACTGATTCACTGAAAAGAGTAATTTTCACTCTTTCCTACTGAACACTGTGGTCTCCTCCAGACTCGTCTCTTCCCTGTGCTCTTCTCACATGTCCTTCTCTCTTTTGCCTCTTTTGCATTCTTTTTCTTTATTCTCTTCCACTTTTTCCTTTCTTTCTTCATCATTTTCTCATGTGGGGTCTGGTAGACATGCTTTCTCCTCCTCCAGCCTCTCCATTGCTCTCTCCAATGGGTATTTTGCACTGTGTTGGTATGGTTATCAAACCTATGGCAAAAATCATTAAATTCTTCAGCGAATGAGTCAGGGTCAATTTAACATTAACATTTAATCTATGCTGATTTCTGAACCCTTCCCATCTTAATATTAAGCCCTTGCCAGGCCTCCCTAGCGTTCCCTGTAATAAACTTGGTTTCAGCCTTATTCTATTGCTTTTTAGTTTGTCTTAGCTAATTTAAGGTTCTGCCTGAACTCCATCCCTGGCCCCATATATATATATATATCCATGTACAAATGACCTTTTTTACAATTTAAGCATGTTTTTAAATCCTTATGTTATTAGGGTACACTTTGACCTGTCTGATTAGGATAATAGAGTCTGTCTCCTTCAAGTCCATCTCCTTCACCCTCCACCGTTCTTCTGCTAGCTGTCTCTCTCTTTCCATCTGCTCCAGTTTTGTAATTGCCATCAACTAAGTTTGCCTGCAGCTCCTCAATTTTGGAGTGCAGACTCTCGTAGCAGTAGTCAGCCGTAATAGCATGTTGCTTGCTCTCTTCTCTCCGGATCACCATTATGCTCTCCATTATTCTCATCATCTCCACATTCATTTGCTCTACTTGTTCCATTTTTCATCCCAATCTTTCATCCCAATGCTGTGCTGAGGCACAACAGTGAAAGCTCACCATTCTATATGTACTTAAGAGTACTTAAACATATGTTAGTCGCCAGCCAGTAGCTGTTAATCAAGGAGTCGCCCAATGAGTGGACGGTTCATAAACACACCAAAACAAAGACTGTTCTGTTTCTGTTATGTGGAACTTACAAGATAATGGCAAAATGTATAGCGCAGCTATAACAATAAAACAGTGTAACAGTGAAAGAATAATTATGAGGTTATTCCACTTTGGATTTAACAAATATGCCTTTAAAAAGTCCAAAAGATACGACAGTGACCACAGATGTGATGACCCAGTAATAGATTAGTGCCTCAGTGACACGTTTTTATATTGTTTATTAGCCTGAGCTGAAGCTGGTTTGTTGAAGAGTACACCCTAAAAACTGTCAAAATACAGTAAAAACCCACTCAAGAGGCCAATTATATTATATTCTCAGTCCAGCAGTGACACTGAGCAGCACTGCTCTGTCTGATCCACTCGCACCAGCGCAACACACATTAACACATCACCACCATGTCAATGTCAATGCAGTGCTGAGAATGATCCACCACCCAAATAATACCTGCTCTGTGGTGGTTCCTAGCCATTGATGAACAGAGTAAAAGGGGTCAAATAAAGTATGCAAAAAATTACCATATATGTGTGTGACATGAAACCATTGTTCTCTAATGAAATGTGGTTGATCGTTTTGTGTGTTTTATTTAATCTTTTTTTGTTTGTTGGCATGCTATTTCGGTCTCAGGATCACCACTTATATGAAGTACCAAAAGCTAATTGAGTGCTAAAGGCACCCCTTGTGAGAATAGAGGGTTCTTCAGATTGATGAAGAATGGTGCTATATAGAGCCTTTCTGAAAAGGGTTTTCTATAGCACCAAAAAAGGGTTCTTCTACTGTTACAATGTCAAGCTTGAACAATAGCACATCCCTTTTTGGTGCTATACAGAACCATATACAACACATTCTTTGTCAACCTGAAGAACCCTTTTACGATGCAGAGAGGTCAGGCTCCTCAGGAGGACTTTGTTGAAACCAAGCCACGACCAGGTGAGAAGGCTCTGAGAAAAAGGGGAGGGCTACCCTGTATTAAAATGGCGTTCTTAATGAAGTGAAAGTCTTAGGAGTGCCATCTACTGGTATACTCCGGTAACTTTAAGTCACTCTAAAAGCTGCCTCACATAACATTATTATGCCTGAAACATTATTTGTGATAGTTTTGAGATAAAATACATTCATGGCCACCAATTTTATCATTATCAACATTACACTTAGGTTCACTGGTGGTTTTGGATAGTAAATATAATGGCTATATTTGAGTTGAAGACATCGCAAATCCTGGTTGCTATCAGCACCTCTGAGTTACTGAATAACTTTGTTTACATATTAATTACGCTTTATATTGAATGATGCCGAACTTCTGAAAACGCGGTGGACATGCCCTTTAATGGCGGTTCTATTTTTTTTTTTTCAACGGTCCGAGCGGTTGCCGTGGAAACACAAACAAGACATGGCGTCGTTGACGCGCGAGCTCGTGACAACGGTTGCTGCTCCCTTCAGGTTAGCCGACTTCTCTGAGTTCGTTTTCTGAGACTTTGGTCACCATAAAGCACAGTTTTAGGACACTGCTGCGCAGTAAACTCCTTTCAGACTCTTCACTGAGTGTTTTCGTGTTTTAATAATGGTAAGATATCGATATTTCACTGTGTTTGTAGAAACGTCAACACGATAAAACGATACGAGTCTCAACGACACCGTGTAGCGTCAGACGTTTCTAACTGTAATTCACATTATTTTCCAGATCTTCAGTGTAGGGAAGTAACTGATACATCACTACTAAACATGTAACTAGTTCAGGCGTGTAAACTGCTCTCTCTCTCTCTCTCTCTCTCTCTCTCTCTCTCTCTCTCTCTCTCTCTCTCTCTCTCTCTCTCTCTCTCTCTCTCTCTCTCTCTCTCTCTCTCTCTCTCTCTCTCTGGATGGACATAAACCCATGTCCTCCAGCAAAAGGAATCCGAAAAACAGCTCTATCTGATAAGACCATGGCTAACGGAACAGGAGCTCCACGAAAGGGTTTTATCACAGAAACTTTAAAAGGGAACTTAACCGATTTCTTTCAAAATTTCTGCATAATTAAATGGTTAAAATGCAAACAAAGTCATTTAGAGTGGTTTGGTGTAAAATGATTTGATCTACAGAAAGTTGCCGAGGCAGAGTTGTTCACAGTGCTGGTGATAGGAACCAGACGTCTGACGTATTTAATGTCTCTAAAAGGTCCCTCACAGAAAGTTAGTACATGAAATAGTTATAATTACTCAGCCTTATGTCTAAGACATTGGTTTATACGGAGCCCTGCTGGTGACATCCTGTATAAATAAAAATAATACATGGCCACAACTTAGTAAGGTATGGGAATGAGATCATTAAGTCGTGGCCACAACTTATTAAGGCATGGCAACGTTCCCATTCCTTTCTAAGTCATGGCCATGTATAATTTTTTATCTATACAGAATGTCACCAGCAGGGCTCTGTAGTTTTATGATAGTTTTGTGATAAAGCTTATACCCAAAACATATTTTAATCAATTTATTTTAATCTATTCATGGTGGAGGGGTGCAAAGGTGTTCTAAATAGTCTCCAAATAAAACTTTTTTCAGAATTACCACTATTTTATCATCATCATCATCATCATCATCATTGTATATAAAAACTCAGAAGACACATGTAAGTTCACTGGTGGTTTTGGATAGTAAATAAAATGGCTATATTTGTGTTGTAGACATGGCCACCCCTGGTTCCTATCACCACCACTGTAAAGAAATATGAGTCAATAAGTTTCTCTACAATGAAGCATTTCACATCAAACCACTCTGAATGACTTTGTTTATATTTCAGCCAATGAATTATGCAGAAATTTTGAGAAATCGGTGGAATTCCCTTTTGAGACAGTAAGAAGGTTATTCAGTAGTAGTATCACAATAAACAGCACATTGCACATGGTGGCTACATCACTTATTTCAGAGGCAAAGTGAGACTAAAAGCTACATATAGTTATATTACATATAGTTAGTGCAACTACATATAGTTTTTCAAAATGTGTCACATATATGTTAAAAATTGACATCATTTCTTAATCTGCAAACATACATACATACATCATCTAAACCGCTTATCCTTCTGGGTCGCGGTGGGGTGCTGGAGCCTATCCCAGCTGTCATTGGGCTTGGGCCTGCGATAGACTGGCGACCTGTCCAGGGTGTTTCCTGCCTTCCGCCCAATCTGCAAACACTACTGTTCAAAAATTTGGAATCACAATTTTCAATAACATAAAACCAATTTCTTTCAGATACATGTATAAAATAACAGTAGTCTGCTGTTATTACTCTACAGCTTTATAAGTATCAACTATGTATTAGGAAGTCTTTAAAAAAAAGAAAACGATTTAAATGTGTCCAGAATGATAAACAGGACTGATTCCATAATAACTGAAAAAGTTAACTTTGATAATGAAATTATAATGAAATTAACATCTAAATATCTTGTGTTTAAAAAGTGATGATCAGATCTTGAGATAGATTATCGAGGAATTTATTGTATATTATATATTGTAGGAATAGATAATTACAGTCTATTATTTATCCTTTAATGACTTCTTGATGTTCCCACAAAACTTTAAACATTGAATGAAACATCTTAAAATACCTTCTATTTTACCCACCTTTGAATAAAATAGCATTTATTACTATGACTAAAGATTCTAATCTTTTTGACTATTAAAATTGTCATTTTATTCATTAAAGTGCATTAATTTAGCTGCTTTTATTTAAAAGGGACTACCAAATAAATAAAGAAGACATTTTGATCATTTTAGACTGAAATGTATTTCATAGCTTCAGTACAAGCGCCCTTTAAGAGTTGCCAAACTCTTAAAGGGCCCAAATCATGGAAGACTGAATTTACCTCAACATTTTGAAACAAAAGAGTTTGATATAATATGTTAAAGTTGCTAAAGTTTTAAAACTTACCATTCACTCCCCATCCATACAGTTCATGTATGGAAATAAAGAAAAACAAAGCATTTACATATAAATGGCTATTAAGCATTAAGTAGTTTAGCTCTGCCCACTCATGCTGAAGTTTCAGCCTGAACTGCTTTTTGAATGAGGCACAATACAGGGCATCCAATCAGAACAGAGCTGATTTACATATATCAATCTTACAGGCAGAGTAACAAAAACAACCTGTTTATATCTAAGGGATAAAGAGAGGTTGGAAAACGATCATATAAAATGAATTATGACTATTTCTAAGTACATAAAACCACAAATACATTATACGTGAACCTCAGGTAAAAAGTAAAATTCAAGACAAATGTAGGACATGGTTTCTTGAAAGAAGGAGGCTCACTGTCTCAAATAACATACATTACTTTTGTAATGTTTGAGAGTGTTATGTTGCTGATAGGTGTGTCCATGTGTGTGGTATTTTCTTAGCGACAGAGATGACCCCTAGGAAAACTTACCACAATGGAAACTGAATCTTTCTTAAGAGACTGCAGGTAAAGCTGTCACCTCAGTCCTGTAAAAGTCCTGGACACCTGATGACTTGATAAGAATATTTGGGGATGCTCTTCTCAGTACCATGAGTCATGACAGTGAAATCCAGGACTATCCTGGAAAATTCTGAACAGATCAATCCTGACTGCAGGCGTTTCTCATTTCTGCTGTGTAAAAAAACAACATACATGTGTGAGTATGGCTATCAACAACCCTCTGTCTCTCTCTCTCTCTCTCTCTCTCTCTCTCTCTCTCTCTTTCTCAGAAATCTCTGACCACTCTAGGATGGCTCAAGGCAGTGAGTCTTTCAGGTATGTGTATACATTAATTATATAATATTCACTTAAAGCAGGGGTGTCCAGGCTTCTCCACAAATGTCTGGTATGGTTGCAGGTTTCATTCCAACAAAGCAGGAACTGACCTAATTAGTTGTTTAAAGCGGACTAACTGAGTGAACAAGTGGAACCAGGTGTGCTCTTGCCATGCCAGGATAATCAAGTTATTGGCCCATGGGCTCAAATGTTTGGTGGGCCCCTCCCTGACTGTCTTTTTTTGGGTGGTCAGTGATTTTTTTTTAATGATACCTTTCTGGAAAGGTCAAGTACAAAACATAGCTAATCAAACCACAGACCTATCAGGAAATAGCTGCTCTACTGACGGAGCTGTCCAGTTATGGTTTGGGGCATGTATTTAATAGTTAAATAAAAATTTAATAAAGTATATAATGGGTGATGTTTTTAGTTAGTCTAAATAACATTGTGGGCAGCAAGGTAGCTAACTAGCTAGCACAAAACAAACAGTATCACCTCTAACTGCCAGCACTTTGGTAGTTTCTCTCCAAATTGTTTACTGGAAGGGTCGCAGAGATCATTCTTTTCTCCGCTTCCTGGAGACATCCTCCTCATCGATTTTCAGGTGGAATGGCAGAGCGATGCGACGTCAAAAATAGAAACGGGACATCTTATTGTGCTCTTCCGCTTGCAGCTGTTGCAGAGTTCACTGATTTTAATGGAAGTGTTTTGGTTTAGTTGTCACTTGCTTGTGCTGCTTGCTGTTAGGACTATTTTGTATTAGTTTATTTTTACTGCTATGCCATTAGTAAAGTTCTGATTAGTTGACTGATTAGTTTGTTCATCCTGCAGGTCAACAACCACGATGCCTTGCAGTAAGAAGCCTGGTCACAAGGGTGATGGAGTGTCCTCAGTAAAACCATACAATGAAGAGCTCTTTGCCATCAATAGTAATGAAACATCCAGCTTAAAGGTTACAGCTTCTACTGTTTCCTTTTGCCTGTAACTCATGAAAGATTTAATTAAGCTTTAAGTTCAACTAATTTCAGTTAGAAATATTTCTGATTATAAAACAAACAACACAAAAATATGCATATTGACTGTCTCTTTACTAATGCTACGTCTGTCGTGTATGGGCCAGTATTGATGGCTCTATAACTACTGCCTGGTGCATTATTGTTCATGTTATGCAGAGGCAGCAAGAGCAGAGGGAGGGTGTGGATGAATGGAAGAGCTCAGTGGAGTGGCTGGAGGAGTGCGGTCTGGAGAGCTGTGGGCTCAGTTTGTCTCACCTCTTCTCTCACTGCTCAACAGCTGCTATGTAAGTCTTCTCTACAAACAATGACTTGTGTATCTCTGGTTGCTACCAACCTGTGATCTCAGAACCCCTCAATCCCCCTCTGCCACCTGGTCCATTTTTTATAATACATGTAAATGGCAAAAAATATGCAAATATAGCAAAGTATATTTATCAGATTTTTGTTATCATCATACATTGAGGGCTGTTTTTTGGCCAAGAAGACCAGTACATCTACTTTTTCTAGCTTGAGGCTCGAACACTGAATGCAGTGCACCAGACTGCCAGTTAGTTGTGGCTGTAATGTCACAGCACATGGATGATTGGTTGCTTCTCATTGGTCTAACTCCTCTATAGGATGTTCACAAGCTCAGTGTTATTAGATTAAATTTCCTCTTTAAAATGTTAATTTATTATTGAATTGTTAATAATATAGGCAGTGATAAAAATGGTAAAATCTTTTAGTCCTACTGTCATTGTGACTGAGCTTGAATGCTTTGTCTCAGTAGTTGATTTGGGGAGTGTAACAACTGCTTGTCTGTTTCTGTGTCTGTGCTGATCACAGGTCTCTGAGAGAGGACGAGGTTTGCACACAGCTGGAAATCGGTTCTGACTTACTTGATGGCTTTGAGATGAAGCTTTACCAGTGAGTGGCAGGTCACTGATCAGATTTTAGGACCTTTCAGATCATTATAAAGACAGATGTGTGAATAAATAGCAGCTGGTCAGCACTAATTAGTGAATACTGATTTTTTTTTTGGCTTTTTGTGCTGAAGTTCTACTACTGTAACCCATTTTATACACAATAAAGGTGAACAGCTTAGATTTACAGCACTGAATATATGGCAGCTTGTCCTGACACTGACCTCTCACAGTTTCTGACTGCAGAGTTGCTCTTGGCTGGATATTTTTGGGTAGTGGACTGTTTTCAACCTAGCAGTGATACTGACGTGTGTAAAAACTCCAGGACCACTGTGCCTGATGCAGTTGTACCAGCACCGCACACACTACCATCTTAGTGTCACTGCTATGTTGAGAAGGATCCACCACATGTATAATATCTGGTCAGCAGCGATCCTATGGTCAGAAACTGACCAATGATGAATGAGGTAGAGCAGAGGTCATCTGTTCCAGGCATAGAAGGCCAGAGTCTGGCACATTTCAGAAAGTTTCCTGCTAAAACACATCTAAACTGATGAACTCCGGCCTTCCAGGATCAGATTTAATGACCCCTGGGTTAGAGGGTGACTGACAAATTGCACATGATAACTGTCTGTAATTGTTTTTTACTGTTTGAGCAGGGCAATTGAGATGTACCATGCCAGAATACGGTGGCTCACTCACGGCAGCAGGAAGGTAAATTGAATAGTCTCTAATAGATTGAATATATACTCACTTGAGTTACTGTTCAGTTGTTTATCCTTTAGTTACGTTTACCTTTACCGTTCTTTACTGCCTGTTAGATGTTTGGGGTGGTGAAAGGAATCAGACTTGGAGTTCTTATTGACTCATCTGTTGTAAACTGCTCTGAAGAGAGGTTGAAGAATCTACAGCACAACCTCCTGGTGAGGCACCAAAACGTGATTCCTTCAGATTTAAATATTGTCACTGTTATCAGAAAACTTTGTAACTCTATTGTAACCCCACTTTAACATGTAAAGAATGTTTTTACTTTGTTATGTTTCAGAGATCAGATTTTTTTTCTTATAGTAGAGGAAATGCTTGTTTTTATCTTCAAGTAATTGAGTGCTAGACCTTTTCTGGCTTGGCTTTCTTTTCAAGCTTCTTATGGAGGAGCAGTTTAGTCTAAAGAAGCAGCTGCACTTTCTATCCTTTGGCACAGAGGTCAGCAGCCTGTGGGACAGACCAAGAGCTGTCACCCCACTGAGGTGAGTTTAATTTGACACCCCACTACGTTTTTTGCAAAATTCATGTACTATGGTCAGAAAGTGCAATAGAAGATCACTTGGTTGTTTTAGAATCTATCTCAGCATTAAGGGCCAAGTACAGTTGTAACTAAATGTTTGACTTTTGATGGTGATTATGGCTTAGGTTTAGGATTTTTCCAAAAAGATATTTTTGCAAGTAATTACCACAACCATAATCCATCCATCCATCATCTAAACCGCTTATCCTTCTGGGTCGCGGTGGGGTGCTGGAGCCTATCCCAGCTGTCATTGGGCGGAAGGCAGGATACACCCTGGACAGGTCGCCAGTCCATCGCAGGGCAGACAGACAGACATACACATTCACACTCACACCTAGGGGCAATTTAGCGTGTCCAATCGGCCTGACTGCATGTCTTTGGACTGTGGGAGGAAACCGGAGTACCCGGAGGAAACCCACGCAGACACGGGGAGAACATGCAAACTCCACACAGAAACGACCCTGGTCGCCCGGCCGGGAATCGAACCCAGGCCCTTCTTGCTGTGAGGCGACAGCGCTACCCACTGCGCCACCGTGCCGCCACCACAACCATAATATTAAATATATTAAAAATTGTTTGGTTGAATGTCAATAAATTGTAATACCACAGTAAATTGTGGTCCACTAGCCATACCACCACAGACAACAGGTTGAAAACTGCTATACAATATGTTTAGATTCAGTAAGCTCCCAAAGAATAGAGCATAAGAAAGGACCTGCATGACTGTCTGTGTCCCAGTTTTCAGGAGGCTCAGGAGTGGGTTCTGCAGCTGAGGCCGAGTGGAGGCTGTAACCTGCGGCAGGCTTTAGAGAGAGCCTGGAGCCACACACAGCTCGATTCCCTGCTCATCATCCTAGGCTCCTGGTGAGAGACCATGAACACGCACAGATCCCTCAGACATTGGTTTCCTCTTCTCACCTCAGCTGCAATCACAAACATCAAACTTCTGAGTATTTGCATCAGTTTGCACCGGCGAGGATTGACAGAACTTGGCTTGCTGACTAGATTGGTTATACTGTGTAAGCTTTCAATAAATATGTCTTGTCTGTCAGCCCTGACCAGGATCCAGATAATATACTTCCCTACATGGCCCAAGGCATGCAGGACAAGGAGCTCTCTGTCCATATAGTGGCCTATGACAACTGCAGTCCAATTGCCATTGTGAGTTTTAACTGTTTTAATGTCAGTATTTAAAATGACAGTTCAGTGAAAAGTCAAATGTACTCTATTTTCCTCTTATCTAAAATAAAATTGATCAGCTCAAACATGTTTGGTGTCTGAGGTTGGCTTCTTTAGTTTTGCACTGGAGCTACGAGGCTGAATTGATTTGTGAGATCACAAGTTCAATCCCTGGTGATGCCATGGCCAACGTGGGCGTCTGTTAGCTCATATAACAGAATTGGAAGTTAGCTGATCTGTCCAGCTAATGCGGCGTCACAGAGAAAGGTCATGCTAGCCTTCACCTTCCCAGTTTGGTTGCATTGTGTGATCGGGAGAGACCTAGCTAATGGTTGGAATTGGCAGTGACAATATTGGGGAGGAAAAAAGTCTCAAATAGACTTGTTTCTTTGTTTTTTGACACTGTGTGACACTTTTATAAATAGCCATCTATTAAAATGGACCAAGTACATTGCATAGCTATAAACACGAGTGGCAGCCATCTTGAAACTTGAATTGTGTCCGTATGTTGTTCGTTTTTATACATAAAAGTGTGTCAACCAGTGTCAAAAAACACATAAACAAGTCTATTAGATATTAACAACTAGACACATTTTGAGGCAGGTGATTTAGACATCATTTAGACATGCAGTTTGCACAGTGCTAATTGTTGTCACATAAGCTTCCATTACTTGTTAGCTACATTAGCCTTGTAGCTGTAGTGCAAGTCTAAATAGGCAAACGTCTGACACCAACTTGGCTTATTGACTACATTTGGGTTTGGGGAAGTTTGTTAAATTTGAATTTCCTCACACAAACATTGCAGTGGAATGATTTCTTGATGGCTACTTTTATCCGTTACAGGAGACTGTAAAGAACATTGCTAAAGTCACAGAAGGGCGATATCACCTGTTTTCTGCTGCACTGGTAATGTGAATGAATGTAATCACTAGACTATTATGTTGTGTTTTGATTTTATATGAATTGTATTGAGTTTGTGTATCAACATACATGTTTGCTTGCATTAGGGTGTGGTGGACAGCAGTAGTGACTTGGAGCCTCTGTGGGCTGAGATCAAAGCTGCTAGAGACGTTCTCCACCACATTCGGACAATGCGACATGGAGAACTTAAAGACATGACTGTCAGTGTTGTTTCAGAGGTAATGCTTAGCCATGAGGAAATAACCATACATGAAAAGATCCTGAAAAATTAACAACGTATATTAAAGTCAGTAGTCACCTTTCCTAATTTCCCATTCCATTTTTGACAGACATGGGTCAAACTCTGTTCACTTGACAGCTTTAGTTCAGTGCTGTTCAGAAAAAATTGATATAGTTAAGAATGGCTTGATTATTGAGCTGAATAAAAAAAGGTTCACAAAGCAGGATTTCTGTTGGGACAATAACTTGGTCCAATAGAAGATGTATGAGAAATACTTTTTGGTGACAATCACAGAAATAATAAGACATAGAAAAATCTTTTAGCTGATTCTAAACTTATATACTGCACTAAATTATTTTGATGCATAAAAAAGCTGTCTCACCACATGTTTTCTTATTGACTTTTGGTACATTAAGCATACCTGCAGTGCTGGATCTTAGAGGATGACTTGCGACATATCAGGCATTTAGAAATGTTTTACTTTAATTGTTACATCCAATTTTGCGTTCTCTTCTTCCTTTGCTGCCTCTGCAGATCTCTACAGGTTTGGATAGTCTGTCTCTGTCTGATCTGAAATCTGAAGCATATGATGCCAGTGCTGCTCTGTGCATCCAACCCCCAGCTCCTCTGCCCACTACCTCTGCTGAGTGGCTCAAAACCCACAGCCTAAAAGGTACTACAGTAATCTGCCTTTAGCAATCTGTTTTGAAGACTGTACCAGGCAGTCTGTAAGACACTGGACAGTTATGGTGTTTAGTTGCTGTAATTTTGAAATGTCAGTGACTATGAGATTATAGGGGAATTCCAATTCTGACTCTAAAATTTTCTGCATTAATTCAGGGGTTGAGATGTAAACTGTCATTCAGAGTGGTTGGGTGTGAAATGGTTCATTGTAGAAAAACTTGTCTTTCCAGAATTGGTGATAGGAACCAGAGGTTGCGTTGTCTATAATGCAAGTTTAGCCATTTTAATAGTGTTAAATCTGAGAAAATAAGTTTTCTTTGGGGACTATTTTGCCGTACAACACCTTTCATGTATTCCTACACCATGAATAGACTGAAATAAATTGATTAAATATTGACTCCCTGTTTGGAGCTGAAAGTTACACCAAAGCATTTAGTGCTTTTAGCAAAATTATCTTAGTGATAATGTTGGGTCATGTTTTTGTCTTCTTTATGCTATCTATGTGGATCTCTCTGGTTTCACCAACACTTACACCAGCTTAGAGGTGGATGTAAGTATTTAGTAACAGCTAAGCCCAACTGAAATTTTATTTTGTGCAGTTAAACCCATTTTGATTTAGTAATGCATAAACCTTAACTTAAATTTAGCCTATGTTTGAACTCACATACAGGTGGTTCAACTGGGCTCATGGAGTACAGAGCCAAAACAATAAGAACTGTGGCACGGACTAATTACTTACAGACTGTAATATGTAGATAATGCAGAACCAGGATTTTCTATAGGTACTAGATTATAGTGTGTCATCAGACACAATTGGGATCCATTGGTCACAAATTTGGGCCCCTTATGGTATTATATGCCAGTTATGGTATTATATACCAGTCCTTTAGGATTTACTCTGAAAGGCTGTTTATGTAGAAATGTGTTGAGTATGTACTGAAGAGTGTGCTTCTGTACTTGTGTGCTATCTATACTGACTTGCAGGCTTCTGTACTTTTCTGTCTGTAGCCAAGAAGCTTAGCCTGTACCAGGTGTTGGCTCCTAATGTCTACTCCCCCCTAGAGGGCTTTGTTCCCATTCTGGGAAAGACTGTCCACTCAACAGTGCATGAGGTTAGTTCACAGTGTTTACATTGTGCTTAAAGGCATCATCAGGGATTTCAGATGAACAAAATCTTCAAAATTTGATTTTCAAAATCTAGAATAGAGTTTTGCATAGCACTAAAGGGCACATTCCTCTTTTAATATTCATAGAGCAAGCTTTGTATGCAAGAGACAGCAGCCATCAACAAACGTTGTTCTATGGCTCTAAGATGTGTAATGTACTGTTTATAAACTGAAGAGTTCTTGAATTTCTTAACTTTACAGAAAGCTATGGTCCAGTTTGAGTGGCATGATGGAACAGTGAAGAATGTGCATGTGGACCCATCCCTGCTACAGAATTATCAGGTACATCAGCGACCAAGTTGTTTATTCGGGAGTATCATTCTGTATTTCTTTTTAACTTTCTTTCTCCATTTTCACTTTGTCTCGCTTTCTCACTTTCGTTTTTTATTTTTCTCTCTTATTCTATCAGAAGCAGCTGTTGGAGGCTGAACGTGTGTTGGAGGACAGAGTGGTGTGGTTGAGCAATACTGGCAGCAGGCAGATTTGGGGAACAGTATGTGAGCAGAGGTAAGACAAAATATTTTTCATATGTTCTTCACCTGTTAGGCCAGGTTCACGGTGATAGATTCATAAAGCTGTCCTGAAAAGAGCTCAGAAAATATGTGTTAATTTATTTAAACTGAATTGCCCAAATATGTACAGTTGGCATTTATAATAAGTGTGCTGTTATAAGGTTTATACAAAAGTTTCTTCCGACCGCACATGTTGATTGGGTTTTTTTTTTCATCATAACATGTATCATTCAGCTAACTACCAGTTGTGAGTAACAGCAGTGGTCATAGCCTGTGGTTAAATGACTGTTTTGGAAACTGACAAAGATTGAAACTTACAGTACTGTGCAAAGGTCAGAGAGCACCATTCATTATTAAATTTCCAGTTAAAACAGCCATTAAGTTCGTTTTTTAGTGTCAGGAAAAAAGCAAAAAACTTAGCTTTAACATAAAATTAGCAACAAATATATACACCTCTGAAGTTCAATCTTAGAAGTTGGTTTCTTTTTCTGCTGCTCATGATCCAAGTAATCCTGAACACATTCAGTGACATTCAGTCCATTATTATTAGAGCACCAGCAGCTTCTGTGTTTGAGTTTGCTTTTTTGTCCATTCCCTTTTTTCAGTAATGGTTTCTTTACAGCTACACATCCCTTTCAGGCAGAAACGCCAGTAAATGTTTTCAGATCTGAAGCAAGAAGCTCTGACACATTCTCAGAGGTGGTTTCCTACAGATGAAATGAAGCTTGGTTTTCTGCTCTCTCTCAAAGATGCAAGCTTCACATACTTTTATCTGATGGTAATAGTTTTGGCTACCAGGTCTCACTGTTGTTATGAATCCCATTTTCTCTATATCAGGGGTCACCAGTCTTGTCTGCAAAGGGCCAACGTGGCAGCAGCTTTTCATTCCAAACCAGTAGGAGTCATTTTTTTCTCCCGTTCTAGAAACTTCTGTTTTTTTCTGTCATTTTCCTTTGACTTTACTCTTGCTTGTGCAAGTGGATTATCTTTTATTTAATCCTCTTCAGAGAAATCTTCTGAAAAATGAATAACTTTTACTTAATGGCTTTTACTTTATTTTGACTGGAAATTAAATAAATGAAGAGTAGTCTCTGACTTTTCACAGAACTATATCTTTGAATTTTGTGGCTTCTTTGAGTGCTTTATTTTTTTTTTACTCTCTAAACTGTTGTATAAAAGCCAGACAAATATCATCAAAGCCATTCACGATTTTGTTCCGTTGCTTAATTTTACTGCAGGTTTTCACTGACTCTGTTCCCCTGTGTAGGGTCCAGGTTCTGCTGGACATGTCTGAAATGAATAGCCACTACCACCTGCACATCCAGCACGCTGTTCACCTACTACTGCAGGAGCAACTGCCCAACACACACAGCTTCAATGTCATAGTGTAGGCCTCAAACTAGAGTGTTTTTATTTGTTTTTCTGTTTTTCTGTTTTTTTTGTGTTATCTCAAATCAAATACACCTTGAAATGAAATATTACACTACTCTGTAACTTATACCTGCTATGTTGAGGCCATATTTTATCTAGTGTAATGTATGTGAACAGTTATTTTGCTTCTTCACAGGTTTGGATCAGATGTAAAACCATGGAGGGAGCAAATGGTTCCCCCCACCCATGAAAACCTTCAGGATGTCTGGCAGTTTGTATAGTTGATTCTGTTTTCCAGCTGTATAATAACCGCAGATAATTAAACTCATACGTTCAGGCCTGTTTAAGCCTATTATTCAGTAACTGATATGAATTATTCACTGACTACTTTGGAACCTACATATATGTTATGTAGTTATATTGTAAGTTATGAGGGTGAGGAATTGAACTGTGGGTCAACCCTTAGAGGTTAAGGTGTTATGGTCCTTCCTACCCACACTTATTATAAGCTCTGTGTGTGTCTGTTTCTCTCTTTAGGTGGATTCAGGGTCTAGAGTGTGGAGGGGGCCGTAACACCTTGGCTGCCATTCAGCATGCTGTAGAAGCTGAATCAAACAGTGATTCCTCTCTGACTCGTGGAGTTTATCTCCTCACCACCGGCATGCCAGACCAGGACCCTGTAAGACCTGCACTCAAAGTTACAGCTTAATTTTTTAAGATTTGTAAGCATGTATCAAAGTGCTCAGCCACTGCATGTGAAAATGCAAATGTTACTGATAGCAAAAGTTGCTATAGGCCAGTAATCTTTTTACATCTGAGTGCATGTTAATGGTCCAGGCAAACTTTAAACTGCTCTCAGCCTTTTTTGGCATTTTTGCATTAATAGTATCCCAGCTGAAATACTAAATTAGCAAGTTGGGAATAGGAGGATGAAGGTAGGATAAATATGATCGTGTGGTGTAAGGCTGGCTTTACATGGTGAAAATTGCATGCAATTAGTTGCCTGCAAATTTCTGTGCAAATTAACATTTACACAGAGAAATTAAAAATGCAATCAGAGTTGCACTCAACTCAGTTACTCCACTGACTAGCCAAATTAGGATTTCATAGTTTTAAGACACTTTATTGTTCTTACTACAAAGTCATCTGCAAAATGTAATTTACATTTTTGCAGCATTATTATCGTCATAATTTTTTTCAACAGTCTTTGCCTTTATTTTATTCTATATTTATATGTCATTTATATCTGTCTAGAGTGAGTTCTTTACTACGTAATTGAGTTTGTTATCTGTTGTGTGTATGTTAAACCTTAGTTAATGTTTAAGTAACCAGTATATAATTAGGTTATAGCTTCCTTAATGTCTTACTCATTCTGTCCAGGAAGCACAAGTTCATCGTGGACTGCATCCCTTTCTCTCTTTCTTTAATAACTTTTATCTTTTGAACGATATCAGTAGGCTAAAGAAGAATAAATGCTGGCACAAGCAGCCATTTAAACAGCCATTAGCATTAGCTGGCTAGTTTATGCAGCTTGGGGAGGGAGTCAACTGCCAAACAAACCATCTCTTTTATTTTCTTGTCCACTGAAATCAGTGACTTGAACGTATGTTGTTTAACGTGATCACCTGATGCATTACTGAAATTTTGTTTGCTGGTTCAGTAAACTTGTTCGTGTAGTTTAATTTTGTGCAGCTTTCAAGAACTAAAGTTGGATTAAAGTTTCATAGTGTAAAGCCAGCCTAAGGAATAATTTTAGCCAGTTTGAGAGCACTTTTAAAATCCAGAATAAAACAGCTCAGAATAACAGAAGTTACCCATCAGGAGCTGGATAGAGGTTAAAACATAGGAGAAATACAGGAGAAAAACAGGATGGTTTGGAATTAAGAATCACAAACTGATCTTTTAAGCCGTCTGGTTCCCTCTGGTGGTTACATCTCTTCTGTACACCTGCACTTAGTAATTATGTAATGTGTCCGTGGCATCTTACTTCTATTTTTAGTACCATACTTCTATTACTAGCTTGTATAAAGGCTGCACTGTCTTGTATGATTGTCTGTGGTGTTTATAGGTTGTGAAAGCATTTAGCCATATATGTTAAAGTGTGGCTAATGATGAATAAAAGTAAGTGGGGACCACCTGGCATGAGCACAAACTTAATGCTCACTGGCAGCCTCCAGCTATTATCCATTACTAGCTAAAAAGCTCATAAGCACACTCTTTCAAGTGATTATGTTTATTGCCTTCATCTGTCAAACACAACCAGTGTAAGCCTAATGCAGACACTGGCACTGGCATTGTTTTTTATGCAGGTTCTAACACAGCAACCTAATTTTCAACCTAATCCCAATCTAATCTTTTGCATCTGTAATGTATTTTAGCCACAGGCTACCACAAACAGTCGTTCCCTGTATTGAGAAAAGAAGAAAACTTGCACAATACAAGCTCATTGAGCTGTTGCTGTATTTTGTGGCTAATTGTGTGTCCTGGCTTTTATCCCTAGGAGACCACCTTTGATGATGTGATAGAGTGTTGCAGTGGTTCAGGCGTGCAGCTCCACGTGTGTCTGTTTGCTGGAGAGAACGAACCGCTACGATGCCTAGCACCCCGCTATGTGACGTGGGCCGAGACAGCCCATGTGCTGCGCGGCCTAGCACATGCAGGCAATGGCCGCTTTCACTGGATTACTGACACAGGTAGGATTTAGAGGATCATCATCGACAGTGCAGTAAGTGCCAGTATGGCCTTAATTTTGGTTTAACATCAAGTTCCATGTAGACGAAGATTATTAAAGTGCCCATATCATGGAAAAACTAATTTTACATATCTGCTTATTTTTAAAATAGAGTTTGTAGTTTGTACACGCTGTGAACGTTTCAAAATGTACCATTCATTCTCCAGCCACTACAGTCTATATCTGGAAACTAAGCTGGAAAAACAGTCTACTTTGAAATTTGTGTTTTTGTTGTCACCCACTAACACATTTACATATATCTGCCTATTCAGCTTACAGCAGTTTAGCTCCACCCACGCATGCTGGAGCTATAAGCAGTGTTTCAGGTTGGACTGCTTTGAAAAAGGCACAATACAGGGCAGTCAATTAAAACAGAGCTGATTTACATATATCAGTCCTAAAGGCACAGTAATAAACCAACCTGTTTAATTCAAAGGGATAAAGAGTGGCAAACCTAACAACTGCCATAAGCTGAGCTCAGGGGGAACATAAAATACAAGAAACATGTAAAATATGGGCTCTTTTAAGAACAGGTTTACACAACTAGAAAATCTTGGTAACAAAGAGCCTCCACCTGTCCCAGAGAAATAAGAAATTAAAGACATGGAACGCTCTGTACACTAATGATTTCACCTTGTTAGAGCTAAGTGTGGTGCAATTAACCCTTACTTAACCACACATGCACCTGCAGTGAGGTCTGCTGAGGTGATTACTATCAGGATAAAAAGGCTCTGGCATTGCTACAGCACAATATTGCAATTACTGGGCATCTGAACCCTGCCTGCTTTAGCGGAACTGACGTTGGTAATGAAAATGACTACTGGGGAAAAGAACACAGCCCTTAGCAAAGCTGCCAAATCAGATACTTGTTCAAAATAAACAAACAAACAAGCTGCTTGTGTTTGCAGGGTAGTAATGTGGAATGGAAAATATGAGCCTCACTCCTGTCCTCTAAACCCACAGGCATAGTGGAGAGTGATGACGTCATTGTCCTAATTGGAGAAATGGAGAAGGCTGCTAATTACTGGCAGAAGGTGAGACTAGACGGCCATTTTAGGAACATGCAGCAGGGTTCTGTGTCCAACATGACCTGTATGTGAACTCATACTGAATGTAAACATTAACTATGTAATTTTGATTAATGCAAGGTTCACTTAAATAAAAAAGGGCCATTTTTATGGTTATTGATGATTAAATGTTTATTGTTAAAAGGGGTAATGCTGAGTAATGTACTGTGTATATAATCTCTTTGTGTTGCAGTGCTGTGAATTACTGGATTCTCTGGTTCAGCGGCGCTCCAGCAAGGATGCAGAAGAGGCCGAGTCTCAGGAATGCTGCAGCCCAGCCTTATATTCCCAGGCTATGCCACAGAGACACAAACTGCCCCCTCCAAGACCCACGCTACTCAGCTTGGCCAGGCTGGTCAGTGCATCTGCAGTATTGCCAAACATCGGTCAATTGCACACACATAAGCTTTTATTTTCTGGCAGAAGTCAGACCTTGAAGTGACTATGGCAACCATGGTGGAAAGTGTTAGCATCTAACACAAGTAGGAATCATCCAAACTGCATTGGCATTTGCTAAAGTATACTGTGGCTAGGTGACTATGAAAGACAAGTCATTTAGGCAATGTTAGATTTTAGATGTTAGACATTTGTTAGATAAGTTATATTTACCCAATAAATATGAAATAAAATAAATTTAGAGAGAGCTGTGTGTTATTTGGATTTTACCCCAGCTAAGGGGTGTTTTTTAAAGTGCTAGAGCTGCCTTTTCTGATTAGTACAAGGAATACATTACATGAGGATCTTTCAGTACAGTCCCATCCAGCTGAATCCAGCAGAGGAAACACAAACAAATCTCAGTCAAATTGACCAATATTGTTCATTGTTTGACAGCTAAAAATTCATGCAGGACCCTGTAGCTAAAAGTATAAACCAATTAACAAAATCAGTTGACAGCCCCTTTAACAGCAGTTTGTTGATACTTAATGAAGAAGCAGTGTTGATTTATGTTCACAGGGAAGTAAGGAGGGGAAGCGATCACATACATGGAGGCCAAACAGTGCTAAAGCTGTCATCCCTCCAGGTGAGTGACACAGTGACCATTCAGGAGAATTAAGCTCCTTTTACAGTGGTCCAGTCTGTAAAAGGAAAAAAGTGGCACCAAACACTACACAAAGATCTTCTTAATCTTGTGAAATCAAATACACTGAAGATTAATAATAAATTCATGTACTGAGACTGTTATTACATCTGGCTGCTTGTTATAATAAAATTTACCACTTTTACGTTTTGCAAAAGTTCAGAATTTTACTCATGTTTGTCTCTGTCTAAAACCTCTTTGAGTATCTCCAGGATAGTGATTTGGTTGTTAAATAGGAATTCTACTGATTTCTCAAAATTTTGCAACTGATTTCTTAACTAAATGGTTAAGATGTAAACAAAGTCATTCAGAGTGGGTTGATGTGACAGAGAAAATTGTTTTCAGAGGTGGTGAGAGGAACCAGATGTGTGAAGCATATAATGCTTCTGAAAGCTACTTCACAGAAAGCTATTGCACAAAATGACCAAGACATTGTTTATGATAGCTTTGAGATACGGTTTCAGCCTAAAATATACTTAAACCCATTCATGGCGGAGAGGTATATGTAGTGTGCTGTAAGGAGAAACAGTAACCATTTTTTCATATTTTAACGTCCTCAACATTACATATGAAAACTCTGAAGACACATGTAGGTTTGTGTAGGTCATTTTTGACAGTAAATAAAATGGCAAACCTCTCATAAATTCAGTGAAATAGTTTTATGGTTTCTGAATGACTAGCACAACGCTAGATGCCACATTGCTGTGAGGATTAGTTTGCATTCAACCACAAGAGCGAGGTCAGGTACTGATGTTGGATGATTAGTTCTGCACCACTTCAGCTCATTCGAAAGGTGTTTCTACTGCTCCACAGCCCAGTGCTGGGGGGGCTTTGTACTTCGATAGCTGATGCTTGGGAATGGGCATAGAGACCGTAGGCTTATATGCAGCTGCTTCTGAGCGACCCATTCTATTCATTATATTAATGTATAAATTAAAGTACAGCTTAAATGTTAGATGTTTTCTAACTTTTGGACATACAGCGTTTGTCTATAGTTTGTCTAGAGTTTACTTATTTGATTGGATGTGCTGTTTTTCAAAAGTCTCACTTGCAATAAATGAAAAAACCTGTTTTCATTCCTGGAGGGCACATTGTGTATGGATTTTTAAGGGTATTTTTGTTGCTGTTTTCAGCACATCCAGTAAACAGTTGGGAAGCAGCCAGGCCAGTAAACTCTGCCAACAAGAAGAAGGCTAAAATATCCCATTCTGTTTTCTACTTGGAGAATGGCAAACTGGGTAAGTCCCACAGTGCCTCTTCTTCTTCCACTTTCTTGATTCAGAGGAGAAATAGTTGTTTTTTGTGGCCTGTCCATCTGCATATCAAATGACAAGAAATTAAATGAATAGTTATTCTACTTTAACTTGTTTTTTTATGTACTCTAGGTGCAGTTTTTAAGACATATCTAAAACCGAAGAGCATGCAGAAGCCAGTCAGCACCATTAAACTTGCTAAACATGAGGACATCTGCTCCACTAAACAGGTACTGCACTCAATAGTGTCTTAAGTATGTTACTACTAAGCATTAATTGAATAATGGAATTGTTAATTGAATTATGATTTTTAGTACCTCTTGGCTTTTTGTGAGCATGTTTTTGCTTGCTTCCTTGCAGTGGCTGAAACAATTTGGCATTAGGAGTCTGAAACTAGACCTCCACAAGCTAGTGTCTGGACCTGAGTGCACCCACCGTAAGAAATTGGTGCGAACCGTCAATAAGAGCGTGTCCGCAAAGTACTGCACCATATTTCCCAGTGTACAACTAAATGTAAGTCAAAACAGTAGTGTAAAGTAGAGATTGCACTTATCCAATAGCCAGAATGTAATCTGATTCTTTAACAAATCTAGTCTACATTATCACAGAACTGTTTGAAGAGCAACAAAGCATAAGGCAAAGGAAAGTAGATAACATAAGAAACAGTAGCCATGTGTAGCCCATGTTAAAGGGGAATTCCACTGTTTTTTTTAACATTTCTGCAAAATTTAGTTGTTAAGCTTTAGATAAAGTCATATAGAGAAGTCTGACATGAAATTATATGTTGTAGAGAAACTTACAGACTCTGATTTCTTTACAGCCGTGGGATCATGATATCAACAATGTAAATATTACCATTTTATTTGCTATCCAAAATGAGCCAGAGAACCTACACTCGAATGATTTTACATTCAATGTTGATAATAGTAAAACAATGGTAAAGAAAATTATTTTCTTTGGGTGTGGTTTTCTTTCCTGAATTTAGCTCTTCACCCTGCATGTATTTTAAAAACGTATTTTAAGCCGAAACCTTGTCATCGAATCATCATAAAAAAGGCATCAGGCTGTGTTTTTGTAATATTTTTATGTAATAACATTCTGTTAGAAGCATTAAACTGTTCAGACCTCTGAAAAATTCGGACTTGGTAAGTTTCTCTAAAACAGCCCATTTCAAACTACTCTGAATGACTTTGTTTAAAAATTAACTGTTGAATTATGCAGAAATTTTGAAAAAGAAAAATCCCTATAATTCCTTATTCATTTATGACGGATGAGTAGCTAGTTAGTTTGTCAGTGTTAGAGTATATTCTGTAGAGTATAGTATATCTCAAAGACTATGATGGAAAAAACTATGGACACAGGATTTGAATCTTAAATTACTTAATTATGGTACTATGGAGACGAGTGAAATTATTACTAGCCCTGAAGGAAAAAGCAGCTGCACTGCTTAGTGTTTTTCATGTTCTAACACAGCTGATAGCCTTAATGAAGGGGTTGATCATTTGTTAATGAGATGAATGGGCCTCCAGGGCCTGAGTCAGGCATCCTGGCCCAGATGATGTCATGTTGTACAATTGACGTTACTGATACGTACATGGTTGCGTATGCAGTTGTATGTAGTATTTATAGTTTGTCTTTCTATGTTGTTAGGGATGTGTGCGGCACCTGCTGCTGAGCCCAGGAGAGTTAAAGCAGTACCTGCTTCAGACTGAGAGGGTTCTGCAGCGCTATGCTCAGAGGATGCAGTGGCTGCTCTCAGGTAGACGTTTACAGAATACAGAACACTAGACTAAACCACAGCACTAACAGAATGAAAGTAAAAGTCCAAAATCCATCCACTTCCCAGTACTTTGTGTAGTTATTGTGAGAAAATGTTTAAAACTATTTTCAGTCTGCAATATGCTCACTTCGTTGCTTAAAGATTTGTGATCATGGAAACGTCAACATTTAAACTGTACAGTATAGTTACTGCATGCCAAGACATGATTTGAGCATTTCATATACTTAATAGAGGTGTAAATCTCTGACCCTGCACTGATTCAATTCAAAATGATTCAGTTCATCATGCACTCTCAGATCTCATTTGTTTGATTTGATTCAGTTGTTTTGGCACAGTTCAGCCTTAGCATTTATTTAGGCCAAAAATGAACACATACTTTATTGAATATTATTATAATCAATTTGTAATTGTTCCAAAATAGATACAGATACAGCCACCATCATATCATTGCATCACAATGCATTAATACATTTTTACACCCTTAATACTTAATACTGTCATAATATCATAATCATATGCACACCCCTAATAACTTCCCTCATTTATTTAATTTCCAGTCAAAACAGCAATTAAATACAGGTTATACATTTTTCAGTAGATATTTCTGAGAAGGCAGTTCATCGTTATGAAAGGGTCGGAAAGGATGTGTAGCTGTCAAGAAGCCGTTACTGAGAAAATTAAATAAACAACAAAAAAGAAACATTACAAATGAAACAAAGAAGCTGCTGGTGTTCTCAGAACAATGGACCGACCACCAAGCCCGGATCTAAACATCGTTGAATGTGTTTGGGATTAGTTGGATTGTGAAAAGCAATAAATGCAATCAGTTTTTAAGACTGAACTTTGGAGGTGTGAGACAATATCCCTCAGATTTCTTTAAAAACTGAGAGCAAGTCTCTTGAAAAAAATTGAATCTGCAAAAAGGGTAAACATACTAAATACTGAAAAATGTGATATTTGGTTGTTTCTGTAGTTCTTTGTATTTTTTTGACACTGAAAAATGAATAACTTGTACTTAATCCTGGTTTGACTGGAAATTGACTAGATTAAGGGTTGTCTTAGACTTTGGTACAGTACTGTACATTCCTAATACTATTATAGTACCCTGAACGACCCTAATACCAAATACTCCCGTAGAACGTTAGAGAAGTGCACAAGAGCTCCCTGTATTAAATGTGCTGCAGACCAGACCAAAGCACTCTAAAAACTGAAGCTTTATCTTTTCCTCTAGGCAGCAGACGTATGTTTGGCTGCGTCCTGGAGCGGGCTGTTTGTGTTCTTCTGGACATGTCTGGCTCCATGGCCCCCTGTCTGCCCGAGCTACAGAAAGAGTTGGTATCACTGATCTGGGAGCAGTTGCATACTAACAGTGTGAGGTGAGCTTTGTGCATAATACAGAAAATAAATAGCAATATACACATCACTATGTGACAAATGCCATTTCCGCTAATACAAAGACAGTCTTATTTGTGCCTATTTAAAGCAACGGTTTGCCAAAAAAAAAATTTCCTTTTAACCATATATGACGCTATAAGGCAGCTGTAGTTAACAAGAAATGGAAGTTTCCACTTCACCAATGAGCATTGTTCAATCTGCATGTCTAAATCATTATAAACTTGCCTAAACCCTGTGGTGTTGTTAAATAGTGTCAATCACGAAACGACTAAAATTTCATTGGCTGAACTGTGTTTGAAGCCGTTTTAAAGTACTTGATAGATGCACACAGTGACCGCCTCACAACAGTTGAATTCTGTATTAATGCTCCTAGTCACTTATACCCATTGTGCTATGAATAGATTGTTATGCTGCTCACATGAACCATTGAGTGCTGATAGGTGAAGTAAGAACCTAATTTTGTTTAAATAAACTTCTTTTCTCAAAAACTAGGCCTAAACAAACTGGGCTAAACTGATGTCGGCTTGTACTTGTAGGCTTTTAACTGAGGTAGTTACAGAATTATTTACTATAAAGCTGTAATGTAAAAAGTAAAGAATATGTTAGTTAAATGTCTTACAGGCTTTAAATATTTATGTCTGGGTTGGATCTGCCTTAAGTAGTAATAAATCCAGTGTGGGAAAATGTGGGGGAATGTGAGGCAGTGTTGGCTTGATGCTATCACAACACAGGTAAACACATGTAAGCCCTAGTGGACATTAGAACTATTGTGGCGGTGATAATTTGGTGAGCAAAAACTACTTACCAGGTGAAAATGTTTGCATTAAACACTGCTATATTATTATACTTACATAACTGTATGACCAAAAATCAATAGGTTCGTGAAATGGCCGCAATATACAATGATGAACGTTTTATTCTGCTTTAGCAGTCCATGGTTGCTTGGCATACTCTAAAGGAATTACATTTTTTGGTTGAAGAATTACTTATTTAGATTAATTATAACTTGAATTATTTATGAAAAAAAATGTATTTTATCTTTTCATGTTGTCACTCTTTTTCAAAGTATTAAGTTACTTGGCTGTGCATTACATTGATTTTACCATGGTTAAGGATGTTTTACTCTGCTTTTTATTGTGCCTAAGAAGTTATTGCTTTAATAGACTTGCATATGTGGACCCTGTATGATATATTTACATATTGTCATCTGAATAAATGGACCAAAGTATGGACAAAATCAAGGATTTAGGACAGCTGCTGCTTCTGTTATTAGCTTTTCAATGTACTTTTCCTTTTTTAAGTAAATTTGTTTTTGTCCAGACCACTGCTTTAAGCTTTGCACAATATGCTTTCAGAAGCTAAACTTATTTTCTGTGCTAAAGCAATAAAAAAGTGGTTACCTAGAGCACTATCGTAATGCTAATTGTCATTCTGTATTATGGGATTAGAATGATAAAGCAAATACTGAGCTCTTTTTATACTTCCTGTGGGTGGACCTGCTAATATTATGCCCTGTCCTGTATGTGCAGTGTATGCGTGGGTCTGTTTGCGGGGTTGTGTGTGGTGTCCGGCTACTTCTGCTGTTAGTAAACATGTAACCTTGCGGTGTGTGGGGCAGGTTTAGCATGGTGGCGTTCTCCAAAGAAGTCCGGGTGTGGCAGGCGGAGCTGGTGGAGGCCTCAGAGGAGAGGTGTAAAGAGGCGGTACAGTGGCTGGGTCAGCTTAGCACCCACGGGAGCACCTCCACCTTACACGCACTGCAGGTAAAAACATTAGTACCTTAGTGGTGCATGTACCTCTACAGATGTGAGTCCTTAAACTTGCCATTTTTGCTCTGTGCTCATTTTTGCTTCAAGAACAAAATTTGAGCCAATGAGTCATCATTTTCATGTGACTGAGCATGCTAGAGATGCAGAGAACTGATGTGTTAACAGCAATCAGTGGCTCATGCAGCATCTTCTTCTTGGTAGTCATGACCACAGCCAGCTGTGTTGGTCCATGCTTGTGCATGAGCAATGACATAAAAGCCAGAACACAAGATACAGGGACAAACAAACAAACTAACCAAAAAAAAAATAAATGCAAGATACAAAGAAGAAAGTCTACTTTTTTAAGCTTTAAAAAAAAACTCTAGAAACCTGGCTCCAAAAACCGAATGACTACAGGAGAAGAAAGTAGTATAATAGCAAACATTAATATTAAATACAAACGTTAATATTAAATATAAACTGTCATTTGAGAACAAAAAAAATATTGTGTCAGTAAAAGTTCATTATGAAAGTCTATAGAGAAAAAGATTTTCAGCACCAGCTATACAGCAGGGTACAAGTCTGAAACCACATGAATATCTGGGATTTTTATCTGCAAATAAGCAACAGTAAGTTTAAAAATTTTGGAATATTTTTTTAATTACTTTTTGTACAAAAAGGTCACATTTATTTTGAGTTTTATCTCTTTCACTGAAGCTCGTGTTCAGATGAATCTCAGGATTTAATCTACTCTTTTGGCTTTTTGACAAACTTGTCCAGATCAGCTCAGGTGAAACCTGTCATTAAAGCTGAAGGGGGACCTACAAAAACTCAGATTATTTTGAAATGAATGAAAAACTGTTTGTCATCAGGACACTAGTCGTACACTCGATTAGCCCAACTGTGCCCCTTAAAATTTCTCTTAGTGGTTTGCGTTGTTAGATTTTGAGAGTATTGTGAGTCACAAGAATCACTTAACAATAAACTTGACAAACACAATGCACCTTTTTATTTATGGATTCTTCAACAGATCTGATCTTACGAGATTTTACCAGTTGAACCATCTCTGTCCTCTCTTTGTGAAGGCGAGAGGATTACAGAGTTTTGTATTCTCTGCTAATATGTTTGGCCTTATTGTGATCGACTACATTTGGGTCCAGTTTCTAGACTTCAACAAATCTAAAGTTAAATGAATTACACAGTCAAATGGGAGTGGTCCACTGCAAAGTCTTTTGACTGAAGAATAAGCTTATTTTGTATTCAGGAAAGTAGATATTTTTTCTGCATTTTGTTTATAGTAAATTACCTAGAATGCATTGTTTACTCTGTTTTTACATACTTTTATTAAGTAGGCTTTGAGCTAACAAATCAAATCTTATATTCACCTGTTAGTAATGTATTTTGTTTTTTGATTTTGTTTTTTAATACGTCCGTTGTAAAATGCTTTCATCAGGCAGGGTGTGCGTTTGAAGATTCATTGGGTGTATACCTGATCACTGATGGTAGGTTTGACTGCAGCTGCAGTCTAGTGCTGAAGGAGGCCGAGAGACTGACCGCTGGGAAAAACATCATTGTCCACACCATCGCACTCAACTGCCAGGACAGGTGAGCGACAATATGCTTTATGTTTTCTGGTGGTGGTGGTGCTTTTTCCCAATCAGAATAATATGATTGTGGCGAATGGGTGTTACAAATCAGCATCAAACAAAACACACACATACACCCACACAGACACATACACACTCACACACAGTTCCACAGCTAGCAAGGTGAAAAACTCTCCCGACCACAATGTAGTCACCCAGTTCGTGGCTTAACCAAACTCTGCTGTCACGCTGCAAAGTCACCCAGCTTGGGCTCATATCAAACTCTGCTACCGCAGTAAAAGTATCCCAGCCCAGGGTCCAGTCAGACTCCACTACTGCGTTGAAGAATCTTCCCGCCCGTGGCTCTGTCAAACTCCACTACCTCAGTGAAGAATCTCGCCACCCACAGTCTAGTCAAACTCCTCTGCTGCAGTGAAGAGTCTCCTGTCCCACGGCCTATTCAAGCTCTGCTTCTGCAGCAAAAAGTGTCCCTGCTTGCAGCCTAGTCAAACCTACCGCAGTGAAGAATGTCTTGGTCTATGTCCCAGTCAAACTCCGCTTTCTGCACTGAAAAGTATCCTGGCTTGCGGCACGGTCAAACTTTGCTGCTGCTGTGAAAAGTGACCCTGCTCTTGGCCCAGTCAAACTCTGCTACTGTGGTAAAGAACACCAAACACAGCTTAATTTCTAATTTTCAGCAAGCAAACATTAATAGGAACATATTTCACCCTTTATTGGCCCAGTTTCACATGCTGATTAATTCTGCTTTGTCCAACATGGTCATGCTAGCTATTCTGGGCGCACAATTAATGGGGACAAAGACTCAAGAATAAACTATGCTTTACATAAGATGAAAAAGATGAACAAAAAAATGAATGGCTGCACTGGATTTCTATGCATTTGTGATGTGTAATTGGACATTGTATTCACTGTTTCCCCTGACAGCATAGCCAGGGAATTTCTGAACAGCCTGGCCCATAAGACTAGAGGCCGGTTTCATCAAGCGCCTTCACAAACAGACTCAGACGCAGCCAATGAACTCCTGTCCAGCGGCTTCAGTGAGGTAGAGGTGAACTGAACAAAGCTGTTCAAAGTTTGAAGGCAAAATTGTACCCAGTATTGTACCCAAAATTGTACCCAGTTTTGTTGAGTTTCTAAGTTCCTCTACACGGAACAAACTTAAGTATGGTATTTTTTTCTGCTAAATTTTAGTGCACAGTTTCGATTTATATGCTGAGTTTAACATATTGGAAAAAATATGAGATATAAAATGAGCCATAGCATTTTCACGTTTCTATATATATGTAATTATATGTTTCACTTCAACAAAACATGACTGTGCCAAAGCTTTCGCATAAGACTGTACTCTTTGCTAAAAGTATGTATGGATTTTCTACACACTTAAAAAAGATGGTTCTTTAAGGGTTCTTTAGTAAAGAAAATGGTTCTATACAGAACCATGAACACTCCAAGAACCCTTTGCATGATTGAAGGGTTCTTTGCATTGCGAAAGAGTTCTTCAGATTGATGGAAAATGCGTTGTGCGTGGTTCTGTGTAGAACCTTTTTGAAAAGGGTTCTATATAGCACCAAAAAGGGTTCTTCTGTTGTTATAAGCTTGACATCGTAACAATAGAACCCTTTTGTAGTGCTATATAAAACACTTAAAAAAAACGGTTCTGCATAGAACCATCTACAGCATGTTCTTCATCAATTTGAAGAACCTTTAACGATGCAAAGAACCCTTTAATTATACAAAGGGTTCTTTGAGTGCTCATGCTTCTATGTAAAACCATTTTCTTTACTAAAGAACCCTTAAAGAACCATCATTTTTAAAAGTAAACTTAGTGATACATTTGTCTAAAATATTAGAATGGTGTTCAACAGAGTCAAGTAAAACAAGATAAACACAGATGTACTTTATACTGAACGACTTAAGACCTGTATTCCCAAATTAAGGATTCAACACTCCCAGCATTTGAAGGTGATGATCTAAAGAGACTGAGAGAAGAGATTGAAAAGCTGAAAATGTTCCAGAAACAAGCCAAAGCGTTCAGGTGTGGTAGCATTTAATGATTACTTCTTCTTTGTTGATTATATATCCATATAAGCATGTTGCGTGAGTAAATGTGAACTGCTGGACGTTCATAGTAATGTCTTTTTCATGCTGTAGTTCACTTTCATTTTTTTTCCACAGGGAAATTATATTGGCGAAGAATCCAGAAGCAGTCTAACCAATGTACAGGATTCAAGAGCATACCAAGTTCATATTTTTTAGACTGTAGCAAACTTAAATCATGAGCTTTATTTAATAAAGTTTACTGTTCCATTACCGCTGTGTGGGCGCACGTGTGGATGTGTCTGTGTGTCTGTGCTCTTGTTCTGTAACTAAACTGAATTTATACACTACCATCAGTTGAGTCTTTTTGTTGTTGTTATTTTTGTACTGTGTAGAAGTCAGAGACGTTTATTTCCAGTCATGCATTTTTCAGTGCCAGGACAAAACATATATTTAAAATACACACAAGCCTCAACAACCAAATATAATATTATTTTTTCAGTATTACTGTGTCCACTCTTAGTCTTCATTACAGCTTCAATTCTTTTCAGGAGACTTGCTTTCAGTTTTGCAGTTAAATCTGCAGGGATATTTTTCCACACCTCCAAAGTTCAGTTTTAGAAGTTGTAATTTTCTGCTTCTCACAATCCAACGAATCCCAAACACCTCACTCTGGGGGTGGTCAGTCCATTATTCTTTGTTTGATTTGCAAATGTGCTTCTTTTTTGTCTGTTCTCTTTTCTCAATAACAACTCCTTGACAGCTACACATCTTTTCAGACTCATAGCGCTGAGGTGCCGTCTCACAGTTGAAGGATGGACAGAAACACCTGTGGATTTTTTCACATCTGAAGTAAGAGTGGAGCTTGATTTTCTCCTCTCTCTCAAAGATGAAAGCTTTAAGTGCTGTTTATCTGATCGGGACAGTTTTGTTGGTCTACCCATTTTCCCTACGTTTAGTTTTCGAAACACATATTTTCCTTTGTCTTTCATACACATGGATTATTTTATATCTGAAATATCTCCTAAAAATAAATAACTTGTACTTAATGGTCATTTTGACTGGAAATTAAGTGGAGGGGTGGAATTAAATGAGGAGTGGAGTGATGTTTGTACAGTAGTGTACAATAACAACTTGCAGATTTAAATACTATAAACTACACAAGACATTTTTCAAAATGGTATTTAATATAAAAGTATTTTGGCAACAAGTTTATATAAATAATATACTTTATTATCTAATAAGGAATGTTTTTTTTCAAAAAAACCTTTGTTTTACTCATTGTAAGTAGGCTTATAGTGGACAATGACCACAAATTATCAGAATTCCTTAATAATCTCAACAAGGACAAAGATCCAATGATGAGATGTGTTGTTTCTTGTATAAGAAGAAAGGCATAAAGAATGATTTTGTTCTTAGATTACAGCTGAGCTGGTCATTGATATCTGCCACTCTCGGGACTTCTAGTAGATTGCTGAGGTGAAGGTGCAGATGGTCAACAGGTGCAGTAGGATCTCCTGTTCTCTGAGCTTTATGGTAGGAGGCTCAGGTGATTGACAGGTGCTGTATGTTCTCCTGTTCTTAGAGCTTTATGGTAGGAGGCTCAGGTGATTGACAGGTGCTGTATGTTTCCTGTTCTCTGAGTTTTACGGTAGGAGGCTCAGGTGAAGCTCCAGGTGATTGACAGGTGCAGTAGGTTCTCCTGTTCTCGGAGCTTTACGGTAGGAGGCTCAGGTGAAGCTCAGGTGATTGACAGGTGCAGGGTATCGAGGAAAAGCAGCGGGATGTGGTGCCATGCAGGCAGCTGATGGAGAGATCCAGGACCACATGACGAGGGACTGCAAGGTAAAGTAGTTTAAGACTCTTTATTAGCCATCTGCATACATACTTTTGCTGATAATATGCGGATGATAAGTTGTATTTAGCGCCAAATTTGGTGTTTATGAGGATAATTCACCACAAGAGAGACAAACTCATTTTAAATTCAGGTTGGTGTGCGCGTTTCTGTGACCTGCTATTTTAAAACTCAGTTGGACTGAAACGATACTATAGCCATTTTCCTCTGTTTTACTCCGAACAGATCGCCTGCATTAGTCAGAAACAGCAGGGCTAGTGAAGAACGCTAAGGCGAATATAGCGCAGTTATAATAGCGCCAAAACAAGACTGATAAGCAAACAAGCAAATGGGCAAAGCGTTAAGCGTTCAAAGGGGAACCCGTTTTATTATTATTATTATTATTATTTTATTTATTTATTTTTTTGCGTAATTAAATGATTAACGTGTCAACAGAGTCATTCAGAGTGGTTCGGTGTGAAAGGCTTTATTCTAGTGAACCTTACTGAGTCAGAATTGTTCTAAGTGGTGGTGATAGGAACCAGACGTCCACCACTAAAAGCTCCATCACAGAAAGTTGTTTCATGAAATGGTGATGAATCCACTGCCTGAGGTTTGAGACACTGTTTTACAGTAGTTTTGTGATAAGGTTTTGATCTAAAACGTATTTTAATCCGTTAATGGCGGAGGGATACATGAAGGGTGTTCTAAGGCAGAATTGTCCCCAAAGAAAACCTGCAGATTGATCATTATTTGACCATCATCTTTACATAAAAAAATCAGAAACAAATGAACCATTTCCACAGAAAAATCGGTGGAATTCCCCTTTAAACCTTGAACAGGACTGTTCTCAGTTATATGTTCTCATTATTATATTATTAGGGGAGTAGTAGCTAGTTTCATTTACTCAGTTACATGTACTTAAACACATTTACTTTTCTGAATATTTGAGTATAATACAACTATATTGTTTTGATGACTGTGTTTTTTCCTTCAGTTCCATTTTTCTCTGCAGCATTTATTAGCATTTTGCTTCCTTTTTGTTGGCTTTAATATCATTCTGGTTCTGTTAATTTAGCTCCTGAACTGCTTTACTGTTGCTCACACCTCTCGCTTTGGAGCTTTAGCATTTTTGACCAAAAAGAGATTAAAACAGAAGCTAGAAAACTTCAGTTCATATGTTAAAAGGTGTTATATATACTAAGAATCTCTACTTCACTAATTCAGTTTTAGGGACTCGGTACTCCAGTTTATGTTACTCATGTTGTTTTTTTGGTGCTAGTTTTACTACTGCTTGAGTAAATATTTTATTGAAATAACGCTAATTTTACTGAAGGATGGATTTTACTCACTTCTGCTAATAGTATTAGGCTAATATTTTAGAGCAGGCCTCCTACAGATACAGGCTGAAGTTATGAATGAGGCTGCGGGGTTTTGAATGGCTGTCTGATGAGTCACGCTAAAATAAAAGTCCTGTGTATTTACGCATATTGTACTATTCCTTCTTTCTTTGTAAGACAAATTTTTAAAATGACCATATTTCTTATGAACAGTGTTTAACAGCAGCACAGAGTGTAGTGTTATACCCTCTCAGAAGACAAAAACTCCACCTTTCAGAGGACGAACACTATCACTATGTTTTCAGTACCCTTAGTTAGGTAACACAATTGTACCATATTCTATTTGAGAATCTATATTGATTTTTTACCCTTTTTTTCTGACAGTGTACTGAAGAGGCTACTACTGTAATATAAATTCTGTGTCTATTTTTACTATAAAGTCTATGCATGCTGGACTTTTTCTCTTTGGACTAAAGCTGTTGTGCTCAACCAGTCATTTCAGCTGTAAGGTAAAACAATGTACCACCATCAGTATACATACTTTTTCAAATACTTTTCCTAAGAACTACGGTACTTTTACTTGAGAATATGTGATTATCCGTATATTACCACTTGTTCTGTCACTGTACGCAGAAAAAGTAACACTTAGCCGCATTGCTAATCATCCATAACTGTACTTTTCAGGTTTAGGATCAGTCTGATAATATTTGAGCTGATTCCACATCAACAGGGGATGAAAAAATGCAGAAGTATTTTAAAACAGAATTAATTGTTTGAAACAAATACTGTATGTTATTGGAGGAGGACCTTAACTTAAAGAGGAACCCCAAATGTCTGAATAGTTCAGTCACTGAGATGTAAATGAAGTCATACTGTGACATTGATTGATGTGAAATGACTAAAGAGAAATGTATCAGCTCAGATTTCTTTACTGTGTTGGTGATAAGCACCAGGGGTCATGATGTCTACAGTGCAAATATAGCCTTTTTGTTTACCATCCAAAACAACCAGTGAACATAAATGTGTCTTTTTTGAGTTTTTATATGTAATGTTGATGATGGTAAAATAGTAATAAACCTGAGAAACATAAGTTTTCTTCTGGGACTCTTTTGCCTTACAACACCCGACATGTATGCCTTCGCCATCAGTGTGTTTTCAAATACTATTTAGGCCAAAACCTCAAAACTACCATAAACCAATGTCTCAGGCATCAGCTGATGTATTTGTAACCAAATTATGTCATAACCTTCCTTAAAGATATGTTTTTCTGTTTTGCTTTACCACTCCATCTATCTCTCTGCTGTGATCATATTTTTTAGACCAAAAACTTTATCTCGAAACTATCATCTAACAATGACATTAGGCAGTGTACTGGTAACCACTGTGTATAAGAACTCTCTTTGATGTAGTTTTTGGGGCATTAAACTCTCCAGACATCTGGTTTCTATCACCACCACTGGTAAAAATTCGGACTCACTAAGTTTCTGTAGAAACGTCAAACCACTCTGAATGATTTTGTTTACATTGTAATGGTTTTATTATGCATAAATTATAAAAATTAAATGAAGTATTGCAGCTCCATTGCAGTACCAGCGCTCCTGTGTAATTTTTTTTATATTTCTTGTGAATTCATGCAACATTTATAACATCACCTGACAAACTGGTTCAGTACAGAACAATGTGTAGATAATGCCTTTATGTATGAATCACTCATGGCATGAGAGTCTCATGATTACCTGTTTGGGGAAGCTCTGCTTTTCTAGATTATACTGAAGGGGGAGCGACATTTTATTTGTCTGTTGATCTCTATGGCTTATTTGTGATTAGGGCTGGGTATCAAAATTCAAAACTTATATGGTACTGACTGAATTACTTCAGTACAACTTAGTATTGAAAAATTTCATGTCATTCAATACCACATTTCAATACCTTATCAGCATCAGTGAGCCAATAAGCATGTTTGTTCCAAAATCTAGACTTCTGATTGGTTGTCTAAATTTCAATCCATATGATTGTTAGTAATTTCTTTGTCCACTGCAGTCAGCAAAATCCTCACTTCCAGCGCCTCACGCTCATTTGTGGTTTAAACTTCTTTTTTG